GGGAGAGGTGCGCTGACAGGGCAGAGTGCCTGGCATGTGTGGTTTTGGCCATACTCTCAATGGTTCGCTAACCTCTTGTCCCCTTCCATTAGTTCCCACGATCGAGGTGGCCTGGAACAAAGCAGGTGTGAACAGACGCTGACTTGGCTAACTCATTATACAACACATTTATTGCCTCTACACTCCAACCCCCAAAACATTACTAGGTGTTTATTTTTAGAGGATTGTCACAACACCGTAAATAGGATTCCTCAGAAGTCAGAATGGTTCCTTCATTTGGGGGTTTGCTAACTATTTATTAAGGTCGTTTGTAAGAATCTGACTGGTGTTGGCTTGGACATCAGGGAATCATAGAACAGTCATCCACCTGAGTTAGGGGTTCAGGTATACGAGCGTCTGGGTGAAAGCTGGGTTCAGAGCCCCCACACGCCCCTGCCCATCTGCCTTCCCCTCTGGCTAGTGGGCTCCGCAGCACTCCCTGCTCTTCAGGGGGAGCAAAAGCCCCAGTGGGAGCCCCTGCACCCAGAATCCCGAGGCTGGAGCAAAGGAACAGCCCTCCAGACCTGACTCTCCGGCACTTTCGAACGGCTCAACATGATTCAGCTCTTTTGGTCACCCCAGGCTCTCCCATCCCCATGCCCTCCACCAAAGGGACAGCGACCCCAGAGGACCCAGCTCTGCGCCGGCAGGAGAGTCTGCAGCTCAGCTGTCGGTGACCTCTGGGGTCCGTGGCAGACAGCGGTGAGAAGGGTATGTGGACCCTGATGTTGGCCTCAGGACACCCGCCTGTGGATGTGGCAGGAAGCCCAGGAGCCCGGTCATGGAGCTGTTGGCCCAAAAAGCAGGGCAGGAGGAACAGGGCCAGAGGGAGACTGACAGGCCAGTGTGTGACCTGCTTTCCTTTTTAATTTACGACATGCATACAGTACAAAATCAACATGGAAAATTAATTAAAGTACACTGGATCACAATGTAAACTATTAAAAGTGGGTATATAATAATACATATTTACATATAGAAACATGACAATCGAGTGGGGCAGCTTCCATGAACGCGAAAGGCGCACTGGGCTCAGGGTTTACACATTCGACCCCTCGCTTTCCTCCTCTTTCGTCAGTTGTACACTCGTGATTTAGGGTGAGATTATCCTGGAGCAGCAATTAATGACTATTTGTTAAGAAAAAAATTAACACCCTTAAAGACTACGCGAACAATTTAAAACAAAGAACGACAGTTCTCGACGGCGGGAGGAGGGTAATAGGCTCCCCTCCTCTTCCTCTCCCGTTTTCCCCAAAATGAATGAGGAGGGGACAAGGAGGGCTCAGCCGAGAGCGGCTTGGAGGGCAGAGGCAGCTCTCAGGGGCTCCCCCACTGCTGGGGGTGTGCACCTGGCCCGGAGGATCGGTCCACACAACCGCAGACAGCCCCACTTCGGCACTCAGTGGGTGGGGGGTGAGGCCATGTCCTCCGAGAACCAGGGGTCCGGATCAGCCCGCCAGGCACCCCCCGCCCCTCCCTGGGCCCAGAGCCCCTGGCCGGGCTGGGCAGCACCAGCTTCCCCAGCAGCAGAGTCAGAGGCCCCCCCGGGGGAGGCCAGGCTCCGAGCGTGGACGCTGGGCACGCTGGGGTGTGTGTGCCAGGGAGCCCTGGCCCCAGCATTGTTCCGAAACCCCGAAGTCCTCCATAAGACGCAGACACCGTCGCTCTCCCACAACCCGAGCGCACCACCTCCTGCTGGCGTGTCACTCACAGATCCGTCGCTGCCCACACTGCGCTACTTGATCGCCCTCAACACGCTGGCTCCGCACGGGGACCGCTCTGAAATTCACAAAAATGACCCCGGCACATGAAGACGGGAGTGTCGCGCCATGCAAGCAGGTCCTCGTTATTCTCGAGGCAGGAACAGGTCTGTGTTCCACAACCATGCACTGAATTTCTCTGGGAAAGTAGCAGGCGGATGGAAGGACGAAGAGGAGGAAGGCCTTGAAGGCAGTGGCTTTCTTCCTTTTGAAGTCCTTCCCCGAGGCATCCAGAACATTCCACACTGAACCCTCGGTGGCATCTTCGGGCTTCATGAGGCAGGCTGGTTAGACGTACACGTCTGGGCTCTCTGCACACCACAGGCTGCTGACAAGACGGCTCTACGCAAGAGGACACACTGGGAATGTTCTCTGGGGTACCTGGCACGCTCCATGCGCGGGCGGACGTCACTGCTGTTCACACGCCTGGCTGAGCAGACGAGCGCTCAGAGCCTTCCCGCCCAGCAGCGCCACCACCGACCCACCTGGCCGCCTCATTTGTTCATTCCGCTCTAGGATCACTAAAAAATATCCAGGAAAGAACCCAACCAACAGGCAAAATCTGTGCATTTGTAGTTGGTCGGGGGGGAGCTCTCCAATTCCACGGATCTTACATGTTACCCCTTCCACGCATCCCTCCCGTCCACTGCCGGGGAGAATGGGCCCAGGCACGGACACGCACTCCACTCAAGGCCCAACATGTGAACAGAAGTAGGTCTCGCTGGGTGGCAGGCGCAGACAGCGCGGCCATGCCTTCTGCCACAGCCCCGCTGAGGAGTCCTCCGTGGCCCAGGCCGTGCCGGCCATCGGTGAGGCTGCAGCGCCCCCTAATGGCCACGGTGCAACTCTTTCCATCCCCAAGTTCAAAAGCCAGGCTCCTAGAAATTCAAATTGTGAGTTACACTGTCACATCCTGTCTTAAGAAACAAAGGGAGCAGTGACCCAGTGCTGTCAGGGTGGAAAATGACAGCCTGAAGTATCTCACAGGCCAGTGGGTTTTGTGCTTGGGATGAAAGGCTGGGACCCCCACAGGCGAGTCCATGGGGACAGGGCTCAGACGTGAGCCGAGATCACGGGCCACACTGCTCGCTGCCCTGCTCACGCCACCGTCCCAGGGACAGCTCCTCGGGCTCCCCCACCCTTAGCACCCAGCAGCCCAGCCTGGAGCACCTGGCCTCCCACGAGCGTCACCAGAGCAGGACGCCGGGCCTGCATGGGCTGCTTAGAGAGCTGTGCGGGACCCAGCTGGGGCCACCCAGAAACTGTGGGCTTCCTGGGTGCACAGGGCCCAGCGCTAGTCTAAGGTACCCCACTCAACTCCAGGGTCAAATGTTCATTCACTTGGCTGTTTACTCATTTGCTTTAAATGATACAACCCACAGCCGTGTTCTGCTTGGGTGCCAGAAATTCAATCTAACAACAGCTCAAAACTGCTTCACTCCCCGAGGGTGCCAGAGCAGTCCAGGGGAGGCCAGGTGTGCTCAACAAGCCACCAAAGGGATGCCGACAGGTGAACTCCACACACCTGGTGGCCAGAGTACAGCAACCAGCCGAAAAGCCCCGCTGCTACCTATCCTCTGCCTATTAAAAACACATACACCTACCGGGGTTAAAAAACGGTTTCGAAGCCTATGACCGACCCATTTACCAGGCAAATCCCCCACAAGCCCAACTGCAAACCTCATTTTTGCCTTAACGCCCTTGCCTTTGGGAAATGCTCCCCAAGGTCACCGCCACCCACCGGAGGTGAAATGCAACCATCACCTTGTCTGACCTTGCGGCTCCAGCACAGATGGCCACCTGTCTGCCCCCCCGCCTTCTTAGCCATGGCCAGGAGACAGCTGCCAGGGGGGCCACACCACCGCCACCAGCCAAGCAACTTCAAGTGGGCAAGGTCGTCTCCCTCGTGACCGCTTGAGCATGGGCACACACACCCCCCCCGCTCTAAACAGCCTCCCCACAATGTCAACTCCCCAACTTCCGCCCCATCTAGTCTACCTCCACACTTTTGCCTGTAAAGGCTGCCACCTCCATTTGCAGGTCTCTCGGTTCCCGCATCCCAAACACACACTTAAGATTTGTGACTCCAACCACCAAACCTGTGCACCTGTCCCCAAACCCAGGTGCCCAACTCAGTAACCTGGGAACCTCGATTCCTACCGGTCCCTCTCCTCCAGTGCATGAATTTAGGAGTGACCCTACCTTCAAGATACATCTGAACCCCATGTACCCTTGCTCTTCTGTACCGCCACCACTCTGTGCTCTCCCCAGACTTCCTGAGTGGTCTCGGCTTCCACTCTTGCCCGCCTCCCATCCTCTGGCCCCAGAACAGCTCCAGTGCAATGCGATCGCATAGGACGCCTCTGCTCAAACCTCCATCCAAGCACGGACGAGCCTGGGGCTGCCCAGGTCCCAGTGACGGCAGTTACCTGTGTGACTGAACAAACAACACTAGCCCCCTTCAACAGCTTGTCCAGGCTGCGCCAGCCTCCTTCCTGCACCCAGTGGGCTCTTCCCTCCCAGAGCCAGTCACCTGTCTCCTCTCCGGGCTGGCTCCCTCCTCCTAGACCCTAGCTCACCTGCGACCTCCTCAGAGGGACCCTCCTTGACCAATACACAGAAAGACAGGAGTCGCCCCTGCTCCTCCAGTGTGGGCCTCCACGCTTACTTCACTGCACTTACTACAATTTCTGACTGCTTCTTCACTGCGGGGGTGGTTCGGGTTTTCTCTCCCAGCAGGGCACAGGTCTTTGCCAACTGGGCCCTTGCTGTCTGCTCTCTAGCTCCTCCCGCTGAGGCGCCTAGCAGGAGCACATGCTCAGCAAACACTGGTAGAAAGAACAACACACCAACAAAAAGCTTCCGAAGGGCAATGCAGAGTTATTTATAAATCTCAATTATGTCTGTTATAATTACTTTAAAAATACGAGGCAGGAGTAACAAAATAGTCATCAAATATAATTTTTTAAAGGGCAGCAATATTTGTAAGTAAACAAATCCAATCATGAGGGCCAATCAGTACGTAATTATATGGTGTCCAATGTCGCTAAGAGCATCTTGGAGAAACCTGCTGGACAATGGCAATGTAGCATATTTCTATCATTTGGGATGGCCGTTTTATCTTTGGTTAGAGTGGAGAATTTTCCATCTTTGGTAAGAGTAGATGTAATACCCAGTGTCACTCTTCACTGATCAGAACAATCGTGTGCATGGCTTACTTTTATTTTTTATTATAAAAAACACATACAAGAGTTTTAAGAAATGATGAATATATGACAAATCAGAACCACGGTGAGTTATTAAACCCATTTTCTATGTACAAATACTAAAATTCCGAAAGTGGAATATCATCAAATGTGAAACACATTATAGCACGGTCCATATATACACGGCACACACAGAGACCTGCCTGCGCGCGTCTCTGAATCGTCTATATACACATCGCTGACAGAAACCCTGCAAGTGAACTTCTACTCTTCAGCCCTCCTTGTCCTGATACAGTGACAGTTTTAAGGACCTGCAGAGATAGGAAGAAGATGCACTAGAGCGGGTCTCTAAGGCTCTCCCAGGTTCTCCTCTGACCAGTTGCGCACTCTACCTTGAGAAACAATTTTGTAGCCCATTTCCAGCTAAGACAGTGGAAGAGTCTTCTAGCTCTTTCTTAGCCGATTTATTTTTCCCTAGTCAATCATTTCAGCGCAAAGTCCAAAATTAGCTCAGGAACCAAATCAATGCTTTTATATTAAATTCATTATAAAATGCCACTCAATTTTAAAAAGCGACTAAAAGGACACTTTCTGCAGCAAAAAAGGGCTAAGTTCAAGTTTTTGTTGTTTGACCAAGACACAATAATACAACCCACATGTCATGGAATCACAACAGCCTTAAGTGAAATGTATGCGGTTTGGGGAAAGGCAGCCCTGCCATGGCTGGCTTCTGTCTCCTCGCCACGGTGACCAGAGCCTCTGGGCATTCTCTCTCTTCTCTGGCTTTCCTTTTGAAACTCAGTTTGTGCTCCGCCAAGCTGGCTCATCTATTCATACTTGAGATATGTAAAGGCACTTCTCTAGACGCAGCGGCGCGGTGCAGCTTAGCCGACCTCCTCTGCGCACAGCGAGCTGACCTCCTCCAGGCAGCTGAGCACCGCGGAAGGCACGCTGTGCGCGGTTTCTTGGCGCCAGGCCTCCAGGATCTTGGATATTTCCGCTGGATTGCTGGGACTCAAATCACAGAGCGCGTACACGGCGGCCAGCTGGATGCCCCACGGGATATCTGCAAGGGAACTTCGTATCAGGCATTACACAAGAAAAGGCTTGTTACTCAGAACGCTCGTGTTGTCCTCCACTGAATTACTACTCACATACAGGACACCCTCTCTGCCGGCAATGAAAAAACAGAAAACCCCGTAATGAAAAACACGAGCTAAGCACGCACCTGCAGCTGGGAAGAAACGGAAGCACAGAGGAGCTGTGTGCAGGCCCGGGAGCCGGCCGGGCCCCCAGACACTGGCACAGTCAGCCCAGAACACGCGCTGCGGAGCTCCGGGCCTCGCGTGCCCGACGCCAAGCTTCCCAAAGCAGCGCTGGAAGCAGCATGCTCCACAATGCAAGTTCGATAAGATGTGGATCCCAGAGCACCGGTCAAAGAAGTGCCTGCACTGGCCACCCACTGGAGGTGTGGATACACGGGCCCCGAACAGGAAGCACGCACACCTGGCATGAGCTGGAGCCCAACGTCACACCCACCGCCGCAGCGCCAGGGCCGGCGGGTCACGGCCAGCCGGAGACTCCGCTAGGGGCGCCCTCCCACTTAGCAGAGCTTATTTATAAGGTGTGCAAGTAACACTTAGCTCGGCCGAATTCTGGTTAAATTGTAATTCAAACCACACGCCAGAAAACCCACAGGCGCTCAGTGTGCGTGCTGAGAACGCAGGCCGCCGCAGCTTTGCCAGTTCCTGCCCCGACCCGAGGGCGCGGCGGGGAGGGGGCACAGGGCACCGCGCGCAGCAACCACTCAGAGGGCTTAAGGGGAGGAATGCGAGGGACTCAGAACTCCTTTCTGTGAACGGAGGTCTTACCTTCGTCCTGCGCGTGCTGGATGAACATACCAATGACGGAGCTAATATTCTTCACGGCGGACGGGAAGCCTTCCTTCAAGCCCAGCTGGCCTAAACGACCTGGAGGACACAGTAAACCAAAGTGCCAACAGCCTTCAGTGAAACGCTCACTTTTCCTGAGACTTTAACATTTCTGTTCTCTTTCCTGCATCACTATTTGCGTTAAGTTCAAACAGGTACGTGTTTCCTACATGAAAGCAGATAAAGGGTGAGGAGCCGGGAGCCACAGAGCACCGTGTGTCTTACGGGGGCGGGGGTGGTGGGGACTGAGAGCACCAATCACCCCCACTCGCACACTCAGGACACGGCACACAGCTTCCTCGGTGAAGGCATCCTGAGGAGTGGAACTCAGGCGAAAGCCCGGCTGCAGCAGGCTCGCTGGGGACGGCGGGCTTCTGCGAGGTTCCAGGACCCCCACGCGCTGCCCAGCAGGCCCGGCTGCGGTCCAACACTGGGCCATGCTGACCCAACTGCGCAGCACAGCGACTCTCAAGTGTGGTCCGCAGCCCCCCGAGTCCTCAGGGTCAAAATGACCTTCACGACAACACAGCTGTCACTCAGGAGTGACCTGCCTTCTTCCCAGGGCTGAGACCAGACGGACGGCAGCAAAGCCAGGGCCTGGGACGACCATGACCTTGGCACCAACCAGGGCGGCTGCGGCAGGCGGTCACTCCTGAGCACCAGATGCTCCCGGCACAAAAAGCGGACATGCACATGGTGGAGCTGCTTGACCTGGGAGGGGAACTGGGCACCTCTCCATTCAACCCCCACGTTCCCCTGAAAGAATGACTAACTCAAGCTATTCAGACCGAGACAGACATTTTCTCAGAACTGAACAAAGTGCACCTGTCACTGCAAGGAAATTTACCAATGTTGTCAAAGATAAAATGTGAGCTCTTAAGCAAAACTAAACTTTTGGAAAAACTTCCAACAGCCATCCGGAGCTTGACAGCTTCAAAAACTGAAGACCTCTCCGATGAGACCAGGCATGATATTAATGCTCGTTTTCTCGATATTGTTGGCATTTGGGAGATCTATGCAAATCAGTATTTTCCAAGTGAGCAGAGCAGGTCACGGAATCGTGACTGGGCAAAAGGCCTTCTCCATGCAGGTGCGAGAGCCCTGGGCAGCACGGCAGGAAGGCTCCCCGGGAAGGGTTCAGACTTCACACTGCATCCAGCCTTCAGGGAGTTACCCCTTGTGGTAGGTCAATGCAGTGTCAAAGAAGAATATCCACAATGATCTGAAAAGGCTGTTAAAATACTCCTCTCCTTTTATCAGCTCCATACAAAACTGGGTTTTCTTCATACACTCCAACCAAAACAATGTACTGCAAGAGCCTGAGTGCAGAGCAGATAGGTCCATGAATCCAGACAGTAAAGAGGTCTGCGACAAGATAAAGGGCCGTTCTCCTCACTGTTGCTGTTGGGGAAATACTGTTCATGGAGAACGTCCTTTATGTTAACACTGGTTTATTATCAACATTAAACGAATAGCTAAATGTTATTTTCAATTTTGAACATTTTAACACCTGGTAGAAAGGACCTGAAGTGACAGAAGCTCTGGGGGTTCTCACTGGGTCGGGGGGGGGGTGGCTAAAGCAAGCAAGATGAGGCCACACAGCTAGCCCCTACTCACCTGGTCCTTCCTTTATTCCAAGGGTCTGGGGACTCGAGCTTGCTTTGAAGCAGAGGCCCCATTCCCTCCCTCAGGACGAGGCCGCATGCTCTTTGCCCCTCCTCTCTCATGGGGAGAGAACTCTGGGACACAACTGGATGTGCTCTTATCCATGTCCTTCTCCTGGGTTCTAACGACAGGACCCTGCAATCTCACTGTTCTGGGCCCACTACACACATTCTCAGCTTTGTATGTGAACCCAGGCCCTCAGCTTCATCTCCAACTTGAATATGGAGAAACTGAGGCCCAGGACACTACAGAGACCTTTATTACTTAGTATCCCTGAGAGAAAACAACTTAGGGCAGGTTACATGCACCCTGAATGCTGTGATAGAGAGCAGACACTCAGTAAATTCCTGCTGATGGATGCACGCCTGGAAAATTTCAAACTCAGGACGAAACTATAAACATCTGGATAATTTCAGGGAAATCTTTCAGTGAGGTTGAAAGGCATTATACTTCAGGAATCAGGAATTTCACTTACTGATCACTCAATTATCTGCTTCCAATTAGATCAAACTGGTAACTGTATGAGACCAGATCTGTCCTCCAAGACAATCTACCAGGGGCGTTCAAAACATAACTGACAGTAGAGATGGGGAAGGGACGTGTGCCAAACACAGACGTGGGCTCATCCAGCCCTGGGATATGAGTGCATTCTCAGATAATACAGAACCCTATTACAACGGCTTCTGTTCTTTCAATTAAAAATGGTTAATGAATTGTTGGATTTTATAAGTGATCTAAATTAATGGAGCTATCAGGGGTACAATAAGAGGAAATCATGACTCAGAGGAAGGTGGCTTAGAGGAAAAAACTTACATATATGATGACAAAGATGATGGACAAACTTGCTGAGTACATGGGAAGAAAAGTCCTCCTACAGAAGGAATGTGAGTCCAGGGTGGCTCAGCCACATTAAAATACAACAAGTAAGAAACGTGGACTTATCCTCCATGTCAAAAACAGCACTGCCCAGCACTCAGGGAAGCGTGAGGAGGGCAGCTGGGGGCCTGCCGGGAAGGTACCTGGGTAGCCACCCATGGTTTTCATTCGAGATTGCAGGTGCAGACGTGCCGTGGGAAAAGCGAGTTGAGATAATTTCAAAGAAAAGGGCACAGGCCTGGCAAGAGACTGGGTACAAATCGACAATGGTTACTTCAGCCGGCCCCACAAAAACCTGCTGTAGGAAACAGTGTTCTCCTAGCTTCTAGGCTCCAGTCAATACCAGATGGGCTACGGGGGGTTAATAAGCTCTTTGGGGGCAAAAAAGGTACCACATAGCTCTGCACTCAACTCAATCCAGCAGCAGGCACACTTCGGTCTCCCTTCCAAGCCTCATGTCTGCCCTGAGACGAGCAGACTGAAGCGGGTTCTACCACTTCTCCATGGGCCCCTGAATCTAGAGCAATGCAAACACTACAGAATGCTCTAACACATCATTGTTGAAGATGTTAGACCCTCATCTAATAATCCCACATCTGCTAACAGCAATATCCAACATCAGACAACACCGAACTGCTCTGACAGAAAGCGTCTTTTATTTCCCATGAAGTGAAAATCCAGTTAGGGTTTAGCAAATCTGGAAATAAGAATAAACACAACTCCTTTATTTTATGAATGATTAGTGATTTCGGTCATTATTATTAAATCACTGCCTAGCAATTTAATTACTTGCTAAATTCTTCAGTGAGTGTCAGCTTCGAAAACTGCAAGAAGGTTCTCTAATGGAGTTTCTTCTTAGAAACAGTTCGAACTCCAAGCCTGACAGGTGTGCAGAAGGGTCCATGCACACCCAACCCTGACAGGACTCCTCAGCACTCTGCCAGCAGGTCTCACCTGTCTCTGCTCCCCACCCTCGGCCGCCCACCCACACCCACCAACCAGCAATATCGCTTCGGTGGCCAGACAGCCAGAGCAGGCAAAGCTGCGCCACCAAGGGCCGGCACTGGCCCACGGCACCGTGGCCAGCCTGGCCGTCCCAGCGGCCCTCTCCTGTCTGCAGACCTGAGGACGGCTTTCCAGGCCTGGCTCTGCTGCTCTGAACATCACATCACCACCTCCTACTTATCCACCCTTTGGATCACATTCAATATATGTATTAGCATTCTACCCGACAATGCTGTGAACTATGTATTGTCAATTTTTCCCATAATATGTAACTTACTACATATGACTTTTAATTATGTGAGTATCCATATACATTTTCTAAAAAGCTTCTCAGGCAATTTGGACGGCCTGCCAAATGCGGAAGGCTCCTGAAAGCCAACTGTAGGGGAGATTCATCCATGAGGCTGACCCTCTGTCACAGACGCACAGGGACTGTGCGCAAGTCACCAGAAGTGCAGCCTTCCACCCTCCCACTCGGCTCCTCTCCTGCTACGACCAACACATATGTAACCAAACGCCTCTGCAAACAACAACAGCCAAAATCACACCATATTTTGTAAGTGCGACTTCAAAAAGTTTACCATGTTCTTTTCAAAATTCCGAAGCTACTTCATCTAGGTCGATATTATCTATTTATGGATTTAATACCCTCTCCCAATTTTTCAATTTTCAAGTAAGTTTTGTAATTTAAAATGTCAGTTCCAGGTATGAACATTTTTCTTGAATCCCTGAGAGAAGATGCGACTGAAAGCAGAGCGAGCAGACCGCCGAGAAGGCTGCCCCTGGCCCTGCTCTGGCCTTACTGCTTCCGGGCCAGGGCACCCTGAAATAAGGGATGCCACAGACGGTGTTTTGAGACAGTCCCCCAGGGAGCAGTTCATTCACTTCCACACCCTGAGCTATCTTTGCAGGCATCTCTTCTGATTCCCCCAACCTCTCCAGCAATCACCTGGCCCACATGCTCTCTTTTCGGTAACTTCACTCCAGGTGTATTTCTGGTTCTTCCTTGAGAGCAGCCTGGACCATTTCACACATTTACTTGGCACCATGTTCTTCGGTTTGCATGTGAAGGATGCACAGGGCAGCAATATCTGTTTACTGAGATGGTAACACAACTAGCCATTGTGTACATGTCACAGACAGGCCTATTTATGCGACTACTCAGATCACTTAAATATTTGCAAACCTTATTTCCAGTGGCACTATCTCGAAGCTCTAACCAATTGAACGCCAAAGATACTGAAAAGTCACGGTGAATATGTTCTAGGATCTGAGGGGCTACAACATAGGTATCAGATGAGCCTCGATGGTGTGCCCCAGGGGCAAGGGCTACATACTACAGATGGAGAAGTCCACTCTAAGTAAGAAGAGCCTTCCAAAAATTAATAGATCTCATCACTGGTAACTCTGCAGGGCCTGGAGAGCGACTTGTCAGAGATGAGGCGAGGAGGAAAAAGTAAGTAAAAATAAAAAATAAAAAAGTAGGGGTGACAGGGAGCAGAACCAAAAACCCACTGAGGCCCTGCGCACCCAAGATGGAAGAGAATCTATGCCTCATTTAAAATCTGTTTAAACAAGGATTTTAATTTCTGTATATGGGCCTGGAGGAAAACAAAGCTAGTCCCCAGTTACGGAGCTGCATGACTCGACCCTGCCTGGGCCAGCAGAGAAGAACGCAGTGCATGAGGGAGAGAGAGCAGGTTATAGACACCGAACGAGACCTGAGCGTCACTGACCGCAATCCCGTGTGCTGGTGTGCACGTGTGCATGTAAACAGTAAGAAGTGAGCAGCACACGTTCGATCACACGTACAATGGACTGCACGAAGACCTCATCTCTGACAAAGTCAGAGAAAACATCCATTTATAAAGAAAGAACGTGACTGAGGAGAAGGAAGTGAGAATGCATCTAATATGTGGTGGTAAAAAGCCATCATTACGGTGAGGTTTTGGTCGGCATCTATTATCACACTTTTATTCTCCCACCAAGACGTGATCAATAACAAGAAAACATTTCATAAAACAGACAACTCACCAATCAGCCTCAGTATCGATGCTATAATAATATCAGGAGTATATGCAATGTTCGCGTGTCCTTTTCTGTATTTTATCCACTTATCCATTACAGGCCACAGCTCTTTACTAGAAAACAACAAGAGCATATATATATACATATATATATGTATACTTAGGTACACAGACGTGAAAAGCATGCATGCTCACCATCACTCAAATATTAACTTAAAATGGCCCGTAAGAAATAGACAACTGATAAAGAAGAGGGGCTTTTCTTATTTTTAAATGCCCAATGTGGGGCTCGAACTCACAACCCTGAGATCAAGAGTCACACGCTCTACTGACTAAGCCAGCCAGGCACCCCAGAAGAAGGTCTTCTGAAGATGTAACCTTCTAGGTTAAAATAAGATCAGACACTGGAAGCTCATATACCCTCCAACTATTTCGATATTTGGGCCCACACTGGCTTAAAAAAGGCTACAACTACCTATGCTTGCATCTTTATTCCTTTTTTACCCTTTTTACAAGGCTGTAAGTGGGACTCTGGACAATGTCCCCAAGTCACAGAACTGGAAGAGGCGGGAGACTGGATTTTCGCTTGGGACCTCCCAAACATGTTCTAGAAGCCTCTACCATGTTCTGAGAGGAGCACGGAGCTCAGAGGCAACACTCAAACCACACGTTAGAAACTCTCTACTGACTGGAAACAGTGTCAGCTCCTCTTTGCTTTCTCTTCCTTCCAAAGTGTAATTACTTCTTACACGGTATTTACAGTATCAGAAAAGTTAAACGCCAACACGCAGAAGAAAAAGGTAAATCAAAAGCACCCCAAATAATACCTTTTCAGATAACATTACTCAACTAATTCGGGACTTCTCTTTCCCTGTGCTTCTCTAGGCGCACGTACGTATGAGCCCGGGGGACGGGACCACAGCGCCCCAGGCTCCGGGTGTGGCACTGCTCAGGCAGAGAGCCTGCTCAACACTCTGTCCTCTCCCCCAGCGGGGGTGCCCAGAAGCACTTCTGGGGGGCTTACCTGTCACCCTGCCTGCTGGGCTCCCCCAAGGAGTCAGGAGACAAGGCCCACAGGAGGCACTCACAAATTTACACTGACGGCCCTGAACGACCGCACCGCCGCTCCCTTAGTCAGCAAAGCACGTGAGCTACTCCCATTTCACCACCTAAACATCCACTTGCAGCGATTATTTTACTGTGGCAGTATCTCATTGTACAGAAGTACCATAATTCGATTCCCTATCATTTGACGTTTAAATCTGTTCCTAGTGTTAAGGAGGAGAAGAAGAGAGCACAGTTTTCCACAGAACACATTCAAGTATCTCCAGGATACGGACTATCAGTCCTCTGTGGATCCTAATTTTTAATGTCATAAACTCCTTTAAATCAGCCTTTCTCAATCAGGCTTCCAAGAAAATTAAGATCTACAGAATAATCAGCTGAATGACAATTTTCTCCGTTCTCCCATCTCCCATTCTCCCAGAGATGGTATATAGCTAGTGCCAGAATTCTCCATGCACAGAGAAAAGTGGATTCATTACATAAAACAGATGCCCGAGACATAGTTCCCTCCTAAAACCCAGGTGAGAAGAGCTGCTAACGTGGAGTTCTTGCTGTGTCCATTCACATGGGTTTTCCAGAGCATCTGAACGTTAAGATCCAATCATGACACTTCCTCCTACACTAGCCGTGGATGGCTCCCTTTGTGGGCACTGCTGTATGAGCTGGGGACATGCCAGTGAACCCAAACCCCTCCTTCATGAGGGTCACTGCTCCTTGGGAGAGAGACACTAGTTAACAGAATATAATGAAGTCACAGCCACCACAAAACATAAAGCAAGGGGATGTGACAATAATACAAGTCTTTTAATGGGAGTTTTACCAACTCTTACCAAATCAGAACGTCACTTTTAAATGTTTCAGCAGCCTTCAAGAGCAGAAACTCTTCAAACCACAATCAGCAACCATTCGACAGCCTGCCTTCCAATTCAAGAACCCAACGTTCAGTTAGCCGAACAGCCTTGTACCTTATAATGTTATCGTGTGTCCAAATCCATTTTTGATGGCAGCAGAGCAGATCAATGGCAAATATGTACTCCCAAGTGTTGTCACTTAGGTCTTCACCAAATTTTTCACTGGGCTGAAATTCTGTTTTTGGACACAACTGTATGGTCAATAGCAGCTTAGAAACCATGAAACCCACATCCACAGGAGCATTCTAAGCAAATGAAAAAAGAAAAAAATAAATAAAATAAAATTTAGAGTTCCAAATATAACACATTTACATTAGTCATCTCATAGACTGTAACAAGCACCAAATGAATAATCATTTAATTTTAAAAGACACTTTTCGAAAGTTGTATTTGAATAAGGAACTATGTTTATCTTACTCATAATACTTGTCCTAAGATGATTATAAGCATAGAGGTTGGCAGGTCAGATAAAAAAGCTCCAGGCAGGGGGCACCTGGGTGGCTCAGTTGGTTTAGCATCCAATTCTTGGTTTCAGCTCTGGTCATGATCTCAGGGTCCTGAGGTCGAGACTGGGGGCTCCACGCTTGAGACTCTCCCTCTGGCCCTGCCCCGCCCCCCTCCCCCAGGGTGCACATGCTTACACACTTGTGCGCTCTCTAAAATAAATAAATAAAATCTTAAAAAAAAAAAAAAAAAAGCTCCAGGCAGGATGCAGAATCTAGTCAGGTAGAAAGGAGATTAGCTGCAATCCAGATAGAAATGCAAATTTTTATTACCTCAAATCAGAGAAAGTTATAATATTTTTTAAACACTGAAAAAGCTCTTCAATTTCTATCATTCTTCTGACCCTAAATACCAGTCTTTTTACACAACTCCATAAAATCGAATCAGCCAACACCATACTCCTTATCTGGCATCTTTCACACAATCACACGTTTGATGATGCCCATACTGGTAGTCTTAACACTCCTTCCTGTCGGTGAATGTTACCCTTTTACATGATGGACCGGTCTGCTTATCCACTCACCTCCTGACAGACATCTGGGCTATGCAGCCTTAGGCTACCCATGATAATGCTGCTATGAACATGCATGTAACACAGCTCTGTGTGGACATTAATTTAACTTCTCTTGGACAAATACCTACAGTGGATTTATAATTTTTTCTTACTTGTGCTATTTTTTTATTGGGTTTTGTTAATAAAAATAAAAACTAAATAGATGGGCCCTTGGATGGCTCAGTCGGTTAAGTGCCCGACTCTTGATCTCAGTTCAGGTCTTGATCTCAGAGTCATGAGTTCGAGCCCTGCATTGGGCTCCACAATGGGCGTGGAGTCTACATAAAAAAAATATGTAATTCAACAAATTAAAAATAAACAGGAAGAGGGGCGCCTGGGTGGCTCAGTTGTTAAGCGTCTGCCTTCGGCTCAGGTCATGGTCCCAGGGTCCTGGGATCGAGCCCCACATCTGGCTCCCTGCTCTGCAGGAAGCCTCCTTCTCCCTCTCCCACTCCTCCCGCTTGTGTTCCCTCTCTCGCTGTGTGTCTCTGTCAAATAAATAAGTAAAATCTTTAAAAAAAATAAAAATAAACAGAATGCTTTCAATCTTATACTTGCAAAAGGCTGGAATTATTTGGTTCTTCAAAAGATTAGGCAAAATTCAGATGGAATCTACACATGCTTTTTATACAGTAAATTTTACATCAACGTTTCCACTTGTTTTATGATAACTGAAAACAACTGGTTTATCAAGTGTTCTACCTCTAAAACCAAATGTGATAATTTTTATTTTGCTAAGAAATCATCCTCGGCTTCCAAATCTGTCACTACAGAGCTGCAGGTGGTGGTCTTCTCAATCTTTCTATATCTGGAGTCTGTTTTCTTTCTCATTTTTGAAATCCTCAGTATTTTCTATTTTCTCTTTTTTCATTAATCTGACCTGGAAGCTATCTGTTTTGTTACTATTTCTTAAAGGCAATGCGTTTTTCTTCTATGTGTTCTTTTGTTCTCTGCTTCATTACTATTACCTTTTATACTCTATTCCTTTTTTCCTAGATTCCTTCTCAGATATTTAATTTCTAAGATGATAATCAGTCACCTTACTATCTAATAATGAAAACATTTAAACTACCTTAATGAGTGTAAGTTTTGTAAAAACTAGAGACCTTTGGTATGAAGGGTTTTCCTTTCCAATGACTTTTAAAAAATTCATTTTACTTTTGGGTTCCTATGTATTCCCAGATTGTCCAGGACCACATACGCCAACTTTCAAGTAGTGTTTATGGAATCTCTGAATTACTTAGAGCGAATTTCACTTAACTACTACCAGAGAATCTTGAGTATGGAATCTTTACTTCTTAAGAATTAAAGTTTTCGGGGCGCCTGGGTGGCTCAGTCGTTAAGCGTCTGCCTTCGGCTCAGGTCATGATCCCAGGGTCCTGGGATCGAGCCCCGCATCGGGCTCCCTGCTCCGCGGGAGGCCTGCTTCTCCCTCCTCCCTCCTCCACTCCCCCTGCTTGTGTTCCCTCTCTCGCTGTGTCTCTCTCTGTCAAATAAATAAATAAAATCTTTAAAAAAAAAAAAAAAGAATTAAAGTTTTCATGTGGCCAAATTCATGACTGGTTTTATAGATGTGCCATAGGCATACAAAGAAATACATACTCTTCATTCAAGTTTACATTTTGTATTACTGAATTCCACTGTTTCTACTCATTTTTGTCTATCCGATCTGTTGAATTCTGTGAGAGAAAATTTGGAAGTCTTATCTTATAATGGTATTTTTACCCCAAGTATTACTCAATTTTTTATACCTTTGACTTTATATTTTTATTTGATATGATATAGAGCAAACGCATTTATTAAAATTCTATTTTCTTTATAATGTCTTTTATCACCAAATTACCATATGTGGTTTCATCGTGACCAGGCCAAAGAAGGAAGACCAAAGCAGATGCAAGTCCCCCTGCAGAACCCTGGGGGGAGGGGCCTTGCAGGTATTGGGGGAGGGAGCGTGACTGAGGCAGGTCAATGACAGGAGGTGGAAGGGCTCTTCCGACTAAGCCGCTGACCTGAATCCGATGGACCCTCCCAGGACTACTACTACTCTGGTTTGTCTAGATAAGTTGCTGAAAAGATGATTACAGACTTGCTTTTTAGTATTTCCTTAACTTTTGTTTACTAATAGCCCTTTCCTTTACTTTTCATAAGAAAATAGAAGACAGGGCACCTGCATGGTTCAGTCAGTTGGGCGTCAGGATTCTTGATTTAGGCTCAGGTCAGGATCTCAAGGTTGTGAACTCATGCCCTGCATCAGGCTCTCTGCTCAGCACGGAGTCTGCTTGGGATTCTCTCCCTCCCTCTCCCCTGTAACCCTTCTGCACTCTTTCTCTCTCTCAAAAAAAAAAAAAATTCCCTCTGCTCCTTCTCCTGCACACACGTGCACACACTCTCTCTCTAAACAAATAAAAAACCGAAATCAACCCCTCACTGAATTCAACATCTCAGAGTTTAGCACTGTCAATTCAACTTCCAGAGATTGTCACTAGATAAACAGCTATAACATAAAAGAACACCAATCTAGATGGTATATTAGCACCCAGTTACCAAAGAAAATAATAAAAAAAGGAGAAGAACACACAGGAACAAAATACTTAAATAAAAATTCCATCAACCAAAAAGAAAAATACACAATATTAGATTAAAAAAAGTCAAAACAGGAAGGAGTTGCAATGCCATTTTTCAGCTCTCCAAGTGCCCACCATAGAAGCAAATGCCATGTAGCTCCTGTGAGCCCTGCACACACATGTATATTCTACACGGTCATCAGTTGTAGATCAGTGAACAAAATAAACTTCTGTTAAATTAACACAACACCTCCATCTCCAATTCTTACCAAAGTGCCTCATGCGTATTTCCCGAACTAAATGCATAAGCTTAGGCTAAAATGGTATTTTAAAGGATCTAACAGGAAGAGTCCTGTCTCTAAAATGCCTATGAACTAAGTCGACACTAAATACAAAGCCAAGTAAAAACATTCATGTGAGATCTGCAAGTAAGGTCTGACAATTGAGCAATAAAACAAACCTCACCTTTTCCCAGTTGAGAAAGGCTCTCAAACAGTTCCGAACCTCTCCTTTAGCACGTTGCCTGGCAACCAACTGCATTGCCTTATTAATCACCGATTGGGAAATAAATATATCATGCCACATGTTTGCAATGAACAAAGTCAATTTCTCTGACTCTGGAAAATCTATGAGAAAAAACACAAAAAACCTTTAGGTCTGATCAAGTGAATAAATTACAAGCTAAGAACTTACTTTATTTAATAATTTCACTTGTGCCTTGCAAGGTCTCCTAACACTGAAAGGAGGTGCCTGAGGAGGCCCTACTTCTTACAAATCTGCTTCTTTCTTCCCCAGCCCCTTCACTTTGGCAAATCTTCCTTAATTAAATTTGAAACATAATACCTGGATATACAGCACTGTCTTATGAAAAGAACCATAAAATCCCAAACATGAAGCAAAGGTAAGCCTGTCTCTCCAGACTTCCACAACCCTAGAACCTCTCCATTTGTGAAGTGTCATTCAGGCGACTTCTTATGCATTTGGAAGACAGAACTCACCTGTGAAACACATAAAAGGCTTTTGATTTGAAGAGATGTTTTTATACATTACGGATGATAATCTTCTACTGTGAATGCTCTTTCCCATGGTTGGCTGTTTGTTTAATCAACCTAACCCACATGCAGCTCACACATAATAAAATATACTCTTCTTAAGCACGCAGTTTGATGAATTTTGATGAATGAATATATCCATGTAACCCATACCACAATCAACAGAGAACATTTCCATCATCCCAAATTCCCATGGCCTGACCCCTTCTAGTGAGTCACGTCACCCCAGATACAGACAACCGTGATCCGCTTACTGCCACTGGAAATTAGCTGTCTTTCCTCAAATGTTCATGAATGGATTCGGATAGCACGCACTCTTTTCTGTCTGGCTCCCTGACTCAGCAGAATGATTCTGCAATTCATCTGTGTTGCCACACACATCAGCAGCCCCTCACTCTGCGTGGCCAACAAGTATTCAACTGCTTGATACCGCACACCTGTTCTTCCGTCACCTGCTGACGGACGTCTGTCTCCAGCAATGGGCAGCTACCAGTGAAGATGCTGTGGCTATGTGAGTACCAGGCTAGGTGAGGGCAGTCTCTACTTCTGTTAGATAAGGACGTGTGAGTGGGATTTTGAGGTCATACGATAAATGGATATTTTGATTTTATAAGAAACTGTCCGTGTTTTGCAACTTGGTTGAACCAGTAGACACAAATTTTACCGTTTGGCAGGAAGCCACATCTTGTGTTTCCAGAGCAGATAAGTCAAAGCAGAGGCTCACAGTCTATTCTGACCAGCTGTTTCAGAGACAGAATGTCCTCCTGCCCCAGGACCTTCCCACATGCTGCTCCTTCTGCCCGGCAGCCTCTCCCTCACGTTTCTCGTAGGCACTCGCTGGCATCGAGCTTCACGCCTCAAGATGAGAAGCCGCTCTGACCAGGAGAGCTTCCCTGACCCCTCAGACTCTCACAAAGCCCCTTCCACGGCACGGTCCCTCACGCAACAGATCCACAATGGCTGCGTACAATGCGTTCTTGTGGGGTAGGGATAAGCAGGGACAAGACAAACAGAATTCCTGCGCTGACAGAACACACAATCTGGTGAGGACAGAGACAGCAAACAAAAGGGTTCAGGCTACAAGGCAAGGGGATAAGTGCCCATGAAGAAAAAGCCAGGAGCCTGGAGGACGAAGAATGGCTGTGGGAGCCCCAATAATGGGGAAAGCTTCGGAGGGAGAGCCTGCGCCCCAGGAGCCTGAAGGGAGAGGGGGCTGGCGGTGTGTGACAAGAACAGAACCTCAGTGGGGACTCAGCAGTCCCCGCTGCTCGCCTTGCTAGTACCTGCCACTGAGGGAGCCCCACGAGCGCTGGGGCCACGTGACTGGCGAGGATGGGCCTCACCATACGGGCGTGTCTGCATCAGGTTCCAGTCACCATCCAGGCCCTACGACCTAGCGAGCACCCCGTGAACTACTATGGAGTCCACCAATGACTGAAAGAATAAACAAAGACACGAAGAGGGCAACAGACGGCAGCCTCATTCACAGGTCTGCATGCTATGGGCACATTCCATTACCCGCTTCACAAGCCCTGTGAACATCATGCTGTTAGGATGAAAAACCTTCACTGTCGAGAGAAGACTTTCTGATATGAAATTAAATTGCATTTGTGTATCATTTCCGTGTTTACAAATGTTTCCCCTGAGGATGTCCTATTACAAAGGATGACTCCTGATCTGCCCCGTTAGTGGGGATGGAAGCAGAGGAAGGGAAAAGGGGACCCTAGGAGAGCCCTCCTATCCACCGCCCTCTGGTCCTCTTCTTGCCACGGGCTCCCGATTCCATTTTAGAGTTCTGCCTTTTCCAGCCAGGGATGCAGCAGTGTGGTCTGTCATTGACTTTACAATCATTCCCTTATCTTGTGTCGCCTGTATCTGATTCTTCAGTAGATGCACCAAGAAGAGACAAACAACACAGTAATGAGAGACCCTAGATGATATACCAGCGGAAATGTATGTGCTGATATAAGAAGTAAGTTTAAGTCATGTAAATTCTCCCACTGAAAACCAGGCACGGCTTGGCACAGCTAAGGCCCTTCATGTCCTCTGGTAAATGCCCAAACATTAATGCTATTTTCAAAGATATGCAGCAATCACTTAGCTGCAAATACAGATCCAAGTGTAATGATGAGGTAAAAAAGCAGTAGCAGACTTCCAATACAGAAATGTCACTATCTAAACATACCTTCCTTAAGTAGGCTGTAGCAAAACAAACGAGCTCTTTCCAAGTCTCCAAGTTGCCGACAAATACCCACATACACTCTGCAGAGGGCGTGAATGTAATTGCGCTCCATAGAGATCTTCTGAATTTTTAGTTCTGAGAGAATAGAGTGAAGCAAGCACTCTGCTAAATGCTGGATTGGAGGGGAAAAAAAAAAAGAAAGAAAGAAAAAAAAGGCAATGTACATTGGTATTTCTTTTGCCTACTGAAGAACAGCTAAAAATGACAAAATTATCTATTAGGGCCGTAAAATGGGCACCGTATCAGACAGGAGAAAAGAGCAGTCACTGTGGCCAACCACCTGCCTGACTCAGCCGCGAACACCCCCCGCCTGGGTGTGCGGGGCAAGAGGCCCAGACCGGCGGGCTGCCTGTAGGTGCCACAGGCCACGGGCTGCCTGTAGGTGCCACAGGCCACGTCCCAGCACAGCCGCCTGCCTGCCGTCACGGCCACCACGCCAACCAAGTCACTGCCTTGGTTTTGCTAAAATAATTTTGTGTGTGTGCATTACACCCACTCTTAATGCATTCCTGTTTTCTGAACGCTGATGTGCCCTACACATTTATCTTCTTTAGGTCTTACAAAAACTGGGCAACGTTTTTTTTCCTACTTAAGGAAAAGGGCATTAAATAATTTGGTCCATTTGTTCATCTGAAAATAAATATCTTTTCAAAGCAACATGTATTACTCTGTTTCCTGAAAGTAAGCAATCTAAAAAAAATACATACATATTTACACTAGTATGACTCCAAGGATGTGCAGATAACCAATACAGCAGGATCCATGGGGCACTGGAAATAATCCACACAAGGTGTTGACATGGACACTTGGAAAATATAACCCTGTAAGAGTCCTAATAAACCAGGTGTGTGAATCTGCACAATGCTCCCACTTTAACTGTCCCTATCTTGAAACCAGGATTTGTTCCTGTTTCATTTGTGACAGTCATTAAAGGAGGGGCAGGGGAACCCCTCGCTCTCTTTCTGGAAGACCCTCAAACTCTCAAATGTGTGTTTGCTATTCACGGAAAAGAAAGGCTCTGTTACAGGAGCATAATTTGATGCTTTGGAGCAAGTCATTTCGAGCCTTTAAACATGCCAGAATTGGTGGGAAAAATGCAACTGCAGTCCTGACAGATACTTTTACTTCTTCAAAATTTTAAGGTATTTGATGAATACAAATGATCAAGTCGCCAGTGTCTTCTCACACCTCAAGTGTACAAAATGCTGACTACAAACAAAGTAGAGGTCACAATGTCTATACGGATAACTGTCAATCTCTAAAATAAAATTTCTGTTCAGGGTAATCTACCACTTTGCTGATAGCAGACAACCTATCTCTGAGGACATGTAATTCCTAACGCTCTTAGAGAAAAGCAGCCACGTACCTTTTTGGTTGTGCTAAATTCATAAACAACTTCCTTCTCTTGATCTCTCATTACAGGCTTTTTAGAGATATTTCCCACATACACGTGACTCCGAATGACAGGTAAGAGATCAAAAGATGACTCTGCGATTTTCTTCAGTGCACCAGCTATGGCTTGGTCATGGGACTCTACGGTTTCTTTTGGGTTTGGAGGCACCTGTGAAACCGTACTGATGGTCAGAAGAGAACTTTCTTCCTCTGTCGTCACACCTTCAGCTTGAGGGAGGTTCCTCCGGAGGGTCTTGCTGACTCCTTCTGCAGTGGCAGCCCCAGTTTCTGGTTCTGGGGACCCGCTGTCCAGCCGCAGTCTTTTGGCACTCCTCAGTGTAGATGCAGACAACGTCCTTTTCCCACCTGCATCCTGGCGAGTCCCCCCATCTCTGGACTTCTCTTGACTACAGTCGCTCCCTGAGCTGCCCCCCGTCTTAACAAAGGCCGTGGACGTTGAGGTAATTGCCTTGAATCCTGTTATAGCGTTGACAGGCCCTGCTAAGCTTTTACAGTCTGCAGACGGACCTCGAGTGAGCTGAATATTCCCTTTGAGGATGTTGAGGGTGCGGGCCCTGGCAGACAGCTCTGGGTACATGGTGTCAAGGATTTTAACGGAATTCTCCTGGGGTCCGGCCACAGCCGTGTGGGCAGGTGCCAAGGGCGGGAGGCGGCCAGGCACAGGGAGGGCATGCTTTGGGGTCGCAGCACAAAACTGCAACGGTGATGACAAGATCCTCTCGCCGGCCAGGGCAGTGGATGGGGACGGAGATGTGCACAGCGGGGAGAGGCATCCCGGCTCTTCTGGCAAAGGAGACATCATAGGAGGCACTGGGATTTCACACAAAGGAGAAATCTGGCCAAGAGGAGAGGTAGGTGAGGAGGGAGAGGAAGTTACTATCAGAGGAGAAACTGGTTGCGAAGTCCTTGGAGGTGTAGCGACCAGAGGAGCGAGCAAGGGTGGCAGGGGAGGCCCCACCTCCTGCCGGATTTTACTCAGAGTATCAGAACAATCTGTAGGAGTCGATGTGTCAGCATTGGCTAAAATGGTCTGAGTTTGATTTTTCTGAGTTTTTGTGTTCTCTCTTTCTCCTGAAAATGACTGAGAACCTTCACTCTGATTAGCTTCAACTCGGCTGGATGCTAAAGCCTTTGCCGGCTTGTTTGATTGATCTTTGTTTGAAATCTTTGATCGATTCTTATTTTTGCTGAATGGCTCTAGTTTCGAGTTAAAGTATGTGTGATCAGATGCAATAGTCTGAGACTCAAAGTTCTGATCATAGATTTCAGAACTAATCCTTACACTAGGTTTGACAGGCCTATTGCGCAAACGACTTTTATCGAAGTTGGTGCTCTGGCTGCTGCTGGAAATTTCCTCTTGGGCACATGACAGGTTGCTGCCACACTGGGGCTCCTGAAATGGACGGCCAGGGTGACTGGTCTCTGGGGACTTGTCCAAGGAAGTAACGGAAAGGAAGCCAGCTCCCAAATCTCCTCGATCTGGAGAAACAGGAATGTCCTCGGGACTGTCACACAGTATGACCTGGTCCACATTTGGCATGAGAGCGACCCCATTTATGATGGTCCAGTGGTCCCCCTTTTCAATGACGAGATTCTGATCCTTATTGATGAGCACGTTTATGACTTCGGAGGTCACTGTTGATATCTGACACTGAAATGTCGTTTCTGCCCCCTCCTCGGCATTGCCCTCCATGGTCTGCCCCACCATGGAGTCAGAGCGCTGGGGGGAGGGCTCTGCCGGCTCCGACAGGACCTCTGCCCCACCACAGATCGGGCTGGTGACATCGGGAACACCCTCAGGACTGCCTGGAGTGACTTTGTTACTCAGTATGCCTCTGGCCGGAGAACGGCCCTTGCTGGCCACGCTGGCTGTTGGAGGGGGTGTTCCTGAAGGGTCTGGCAGGAAGCCACTCACCTCCTGAGGTGGGACGTGCTCTCGGACAGGCTTAGTGGTCAGGCTGTCATGCGTATTTAAGAGCACCAGGTTACCGGCGTCTTTTCCAGGAGAGCTCTCACAGCTGGTCTGAAGCGCCTGGCCGACCCTGGTGAGTACCTCAGACAGCGTTTCCAAGGAACGCCGTGTGAGTTGATCCGTGCTCCTCAGAGGACCGTCATCTTCCTCAGATTCAATCCACTCTTCGGAGGTTTCAAGGGTTTCTTCTTCACAGAGCTGCTTTCTGTACTTCCCTCCTGAGAGCTCACCTGCCTTTAAGTCTTTGTTCATTTCTTTATATAGGGTTCCTTTGCTCGAACATTCTGAAACAGAGTCCCCTGAACTATAATCTCTTAACTGACAACTTTCGAGAAACATCACGACCTCTGATGTGGAAAGTCCGTCTACCTCAGAAAGAGTACTGATGTTGAAGTCCTGCAGCGCGGAGGTCAGACACCCCACCTCAACAGAAGGCCTGGGCTCGGCTGCGCCAGCACCTTCGGCTCCTAAATCTTTTCTGGAGGCACGGGCGGCACCTTGCTGTCTGTCCCCCATCGCGGCTTCGGACTCACTCTCCCCCTCGCTGCAGCTAGGTGCCTCACTCTCCTCCACCTCTGTGTCGCCACCGCCTGCCTCCCGAATGCCCGTGTAACACAGAGCCCCAGCGAGGCCACTCTGGGGGACAGCATGCGTCTCTTCATCTTTCCTGAGAATGGCCGATGGAAGAGCAGTCCCTGTAGTGCCTGGACCTTTAGGAGAAGCACTGCCAGGAGTCTGAGATGGCAGCTCTAGAGACTCCAGGCTCTGCTGGACACGAGGAGAGTCCTCTGAGACGGCCAGGGCCTCACCACTAGATCTGCCCGTGCCATCAAAGGGTACTTCGTCCACAGGAAAACTTCTCGACGCTGGCACTTCTGTGGCGGGAAGGAGTCGATCCCCACCTAGCCCAGACGAGTCCAGATCCGTGGCATGAAGGAGCAGACTTTGCTTCTGCACTTCTTCCTGTGCTGAGGCTTCCGTCACAACGTCTTGGTTTTGGACCGGGATGTTTTTAGAAGAGAAAGACAGTCCGCTATTTGTGGAACAATGAGAATTTCCTACTGGTAAAGAAGCACTTGGAAAACTGAAGTCTAATTTTCTCCACGAGGCGAAAACTTGTGGCGAGGTCCCTTCAGTAGCAGCCGTCCCCTGCGCATCCCGTGCCGTGTCCTCTCCTTCTCTGCCACGTCTGGCTACAGATGACATGGATGCAGCCCCAGAACCGGCACGTGCTGCCCCGAAGGCAGATTCAGTCCCCCGCCTCCAGTGCTCCGGTCTAGCACTCTGCGCCGTGTCAGGCCTGGCCTGCTTGGTGATCACGGACACTTGGTTTGGCAACAGCGATGTAGCAGCCCTGAGCCCCACAGCATTATTTTCTCTAGCAAGTTCAGGCTTGGATGTGGATCCTCTACTCTCTAAGGATGGCACTGCCTTTTCTACCTGATGGTTGGTCTTCTGTTCATATTCTGACTTAGCTCTCATCCTTTCTTCCCCACCTCTCCTTAACAGATCACTATGGTGCCATGAAGGGCTTTTAACAAAACCAAACCCACTCTTGGTCAAGCCACACTGAGACTCTAGCAATGGTGAAGAATCCGCCCTAGTCAGGGGGAGCTCAGTTCTGGGACCCTGACTTCCACACTGTGCCTCTTTCATAGCTTTTATAAATACTGACTGTGCAAGTGAACAGACTTTGGGCATGCCTTTCACAACATTTGTGCACCCGACCTCACTGCTGCTCTGATTATTAAAATCTGACGCTCCCAACTCAGGGCTCAAAGCACACAAGCTATTCTCCAGATGGTTCTGTCCGGCAGGACACTCTGGGGGCTCAGGCTGCAGATCTAACATGTTCAAGGTTTCAGCTTGTAACTTTTGTTCAGAGTGATGCAGTTCCATAGGGGTAACTTTAGCAGGAATGTGTAGATCATGACCATACTTTAACCCAGAGGAAGACGGGGAGTCACTGCAGACAGACGATGTTCCCGAGGTAGAAGAGGAAGAAAGCCTGGCGTCAACACTGAGCCCTGTGACACCCATTGCATCACCTGCATCGTCCTCTGGTTCAGGTGATGCTCCTAAAATGAATCCTTGAACATCTCTCTCCTTCCCCAATACTCTACACATTCCCTGAAAGTGGTCAGAGATTGACAGATGATCTGATTCAAGAGGGATTTCACTAGTTAGCATCCACTTAGTAAGCTGTGATTTGGGTGATCCTATCATTTTGGATAGCAGGGTTTTTCCTTCAGATTCCATGAGCTCACTGAATGGCCTCTTGCCGAGGGGAGAACACACATCAGACTTCTGGAGGGCCTCTCCCCTGCCCTGTGCCCGGCTGCCAGACGACGTCTCAACACACACATTTCTGATGGGCTCATGAAGCATGTTCTCAGTCTGCACTGACTTATCCGCCTCTCTAACCTCTCTCTGTCTTTGTGCCTCATCTAAAATGCCTCTTCTCCTATCACTCGTCGATTCAGATGACACCATCCAGTGTTTCTCACGAGCTAAGGAGTATGTGGCTGAAGGCTCTCTCAGTGTTGCTGTGAATGTCCCAAACCCGACAGTTGTCACTTCATTTACTTCCAATGTAGTCAGAGCTTGGGTGGCTTCATGTGATTTGAGCTTTTCCTCCCAGGTACCACTACTTCCTTTACTTTTTCTGGATGAACCAAAATACTGTGATTCAGACGTCTCATCTTCTGAAACAGACTCAGCAGAATTTCTATGTTGGGACGATTCATTATCACTGGAATCTGTATACTCTCCAAAGTAGGTTTCCTTAAAAATGAATGAGTTATTCTTATTAGTTAAATATTAACTGAACTTACTAAACACAGCTACCAATTAAATGCCTTAAAAAAGTGATTCTTACTAAATACTAATTGAACCTACTAAACGTAACTACCCATTAAATGCATTCTTGAAGAATCCTTTAAAATACAGCGAGGAAAGGGTAATTCCCTGTCTGGAAGCTAGCGGTAGGTAGACGAACTGCAGTCTGAGCACCAAGCTGCCGCCGTTTCCCTGACCTGTGTCCCCGAGTCCCCCAAACTCCCACCACTCGCTCCTCCCACAGGAGACACAGCCAGGATTAGGTCTACTCTGCGGAGGCCAAACATTCCTAGTCTCCAGCTCTCCCTCCCGGTTCCTGGCACAAAAGGTGTCCGACTCTGGCTGCACAGCCTCTCGTCCCCCTGCTTCCAGGTCACTCCTCCGCAGGCGTCCAGCTCCAGCGCAGCGGGACCGGCCACCACTCTGGGGGACGTCTTGTACGTAGCTCGTGCCCACAGGTCCTCGTGCCTAGCCTGCGTCTGGGATGTCGCTACCAAGCAGACAGGCTCCACCTCTTTCAACAGTATGCACACTGACACTGCTCCTTCCCACACAGCCCACTCTCCATCTCCGCCCCAGAAACCCTAACCACCCCTGGGCAGCCCCTGCTGTCTTGGAGGGACAGCCCCCACCACATGGCCCAGCAGGAGAGCTGGTTCCTCAACCGCCTGGCCTCCTTCTGAGCACCACACTCATGGTTCTAAAATCCTATTGCACGAGTCCCCTTGCAAGCCCCATGCATGCCTCGGAGCCACACCTGACACAGCACCCTCCCACTCACGCAGGGCTGCTGCTTTTCTTTGCTATGTTCCTCCCCACCTCCTCCACCTCCCTAAACACCACACTGAAAACCTCGTCAAACGCTACTCATTCACCCTCATAACATTTCTCATACCAGCCCCACCTCTTGAACCCAGTGCTGCTGCAGGGATGAGAATTCGAGAATGGCGGCAGCTGCTGATTCAGTCCCAGGGATCTCCCCCGCTATGCTCTTGCCTCTGTCCAGACTACCCCCACTCCCTACTCGATCACACGGAATCTAAATAGAAACTTGCAACTGAACATCTATCATTAAGTCCACTTCCCAGGATCCACCAAGGACTTCCCACTGCCTTCACGATAAAATGGAAAGTCCTAAGGGCACAGATGGCCTCTGCGGACCTGGGAAGTGTGAACATTCTCTGGCACAAACTCACCTTCAATCCCATGACTCTATAAAGAGCTCCCCCACCTGAAGCACCCCCGCCCTCCTGAACACTCAGCTGGGCCTTGTCTTCCCAGAGCATCCTTGCCCCCTCCAACCGCCTCCCTCAGGAGCCAGCCTCTGGCCTGTGTCCTCTCCAGCCGGTGTGCCCCCCAGCCCGGCAGTCTCTACCAAAGTGGTGCAATTGCCTGCTCCCTCCTCCGCCCAACTGCCACACAAGATCCAGCAACTGGTAACCATGGCCTGTGTCACGTCCGTGTTCCCAGGCCAAGCGCAGCCCCCGGAACAGAAGAGACGTACACTGCTTCCTGAAAGAAGGGAGTGACTCAGAGCAATGCATTTATCTGCTCCTTAAGCCAAAAAGCATACAAATCTGCTTCTCAAGACTAACTTCCTAAGAATTTACAATAAACCATTCTGCAAACACATGTAAAGGTGCTGAAGTCATCAAGCAAAAGCGGGGAATTCGGCAAACACAGGTTAATTGGCATGTATGCTACGTACATGGATTCCCCATCTCTGAAAAACTCCAGACCCGCAAACGTGCACTTAATCCATTCACTGCATTAGGTGCCAGGCGGCAGAAAGAAGAACAATTAGAACACAGTCCTCCCACATGGGACTGCGAATTTGGTTGTGGATAAAGACACACAGAATGCAACCTTAAGTGAACATGTCATGTGATCCACGTTGATCCAAAGAGCGCTGGCATGCCCTAGTCAGTTCTCACATCTGTCCCCAGTAAAGTCTGGTCTGAGTATCACTGAGCAGCACTCCCTGAGTATGGCTAAGGTGTCAGGATGGGGAACGTGCCCGCATGATAACTCAAATGCCAAGTGCAAACTCACAGGTGCGAGCGAAGAAGGTAATGTGCTCAGGGGTGGTAGGGACACCAGAGGGGGTGACGGCACTGGAGACAACAGAGGAGGGGGAAGTTTGAAGAAATCAACTGCCGCCTGGAGATCTTCATCAAAACAGTGATCACGATCAGAGAAGTCAGTACTGTCCTCGTCGTCCCTCGGCACCGCGAGTTCAGGATGCCGGCCCTCATTAGAAACATGGTCATCACAGTGCGCGGCTCCACTGGGCCCCTCTCCCCCCACACGTCTACACGCAGAGAAGTCACCCTCTATTTCCATGGACAGTTCTGCCAGGCACGTCTGCACAGCTGCAGCTCTGAGCGGCCTGCCTCCCGCTGGAGGAGGCAGGCCATCATCCCTGGACTCTGTGGGTCCGGGGTTTTCTTTGGCAGGTTTCTCTGTAGGAGAAAAAGGTAAATACCAAACATCTGTAACATCAAGAAAACTTAAGAAAATTATCCTAACTGTTCAAAATGCTTTACTGAAGAAACCCAAATAAGGAGAAACATTTTTTAAAAGGCACCCAATCCCTTCCTACAGATTACCCTGTAAGACCTGAACACATTTCATGTAGGTACACTTCCCTCACAACAAGCAGGACAAGAAGGCAGGCGGGCGGGTGGAGGCGATGCCCTGTGGCCCACGGGCAGCAGGGCACACGGGTGGAAAGGCATCGCGGTGGTGGGAACGGGCCTGGATGGCATGCTCCCCCTCTCAGAAACTATCTTTCCACACAACCAGCAGCATTCGGAGACACAGCTTTGTGCAGAGAGGCTGACAGGGAACACAATTTCCTCTGTCTGAAAAACAATCAAGAATCAGCCAACATAAAGCCTACCCAATAACGATATTTGTACAATGCTGCAATTAAGGGACTCAACAAGGCACATACATACTTTGTGTATTACAGTGCAATAGGAAAGTTACTGTAAAAAGCCAGTGATTTGGGGGTCTTGATTTTGGTGAACTTCAAGTGGTACTTATTATCAGTGAAGACATGGAAAAAATAACCATTTGTAATATCTTAAAGCTATAAAAATATGTTTTACATAAGGACTCAAGGCTCCCTGGAGAAGTGACTGACTATAGGGCTGGGGAGGGGAAAATACAAATAGGGCCTGAAACATCTTGCAGAGTCAGAAAGAAGTTCTCAAAACAGGCTGGGGTATGCCTCAAGGGCCCAGGAGCCAACCTGAAAACAGTCCCAATAACCAAAGCTGGAATAATTTGAACGATGAAATAAACAATGGTAGTTATGAATTATAATGCAGAGAATAAAGAATTCCAATTAATTAATGTAGAAGGAACGAGAGAAATACAAAATCGCTATTAGACTAAGCAGGCTTCAGTGGTGGACGCTAAAATCAGCGGGCTAGAGTGGGAGAAAAACAGACTATCTGCAGAGTATCCATGTGTCTCCCTCAAGATAATTCACAGTAACCTAACAGTAGAGAAACCTGGCAGACACCACCTTGAACAAGTGGTCCTACTCTCACCCATGTCATCCATCCCCCCATCCCCTCCCCGGTACAATGTCAGAGTGTGGAGAAGAGCGCAAGGCCACCACTGTGGAGTTCTTGCTGTAAAGAAGTCTTCACCTAATATGAGAAAACAGCACACAAGCCAAAACTGATAGGTTTCCTACGAAATGATGCTTGCTCTCTGAAAGTGGGTAAGACAGGAGACAAAGCGACACAGATGAACTGCCAGACTAAGGGGGCGGAAGGCGGAGGGCTGCTAGGTGCAACGTGGGCTCCGGGAAGGGACACATGCCCAGAGACATCCATGGGACCTTTCCCTTAGCTAACAGTCTTGCACCAAGGGATAAATTCAGGGGAATCTGGATGAGGAGTCTAAGGGAATTCTCTGCACTATTTTTTAAAATTTTCTCAGATAAAAACAAAAAACTAAAAAAAAAAAAAAAAAAGTGTATTTTAAGACTGAAGATTCCAAAGACTCCATGCTTTCCTTTCTACTTGAAAAAGTTAACATGAAGCAATACACGTATCCCTCAAAATAGTTTGCTTTTAAATAAAAACACCAAATTATGAAATGGAGAGCCCTTTTAATAGTACCTTGAACAACGTGGAATCAAGTGCTTAGGATAAAATACGACTACTAGCTGCCGAAGCAGATTTAGAGCCCCGGCCTACTGCTGCGCGAACAGATGAAGACGCGGACCGAGAACCGCAGGGGCTGGCTCACGAGACGCAGGCGCCACCTGCTTGCACTCGCAGCGCTACCACGCAGCAGGCGACAATCCAACAGGCCTCTCTCCACCTCGCAAAACCTCACTGAGTCAAGCACAAATGAGAATCAGCAACTTGCCTGGTAACATTTTTCTGAGGGAACTCTGCCTTCAGAAGCCTGAGAGTGAAAACTAGGCACACATCTCTACAGATCTAGATCCTCAATGATCTGTGAATTCACAGGAGCTAATGATAAGAAACCAGTAAAACGGAAAAAAAAAAAAAAAAAAAAAAAGCTAAGGAGCGCTTTAATCTTATGCATGAAGGCTAACTTCTCCCCATCCACTCTGGGATGACTAATACCTATTTCCAAATCTTAAATCCTGAGTAGGGTGTGACTGAGAACATGGAAGAAGGCCTCCACAGCTTTGCCTGCGGATCAAGATAGCCCACAGATGAAGTCAAAACTGAAAATTAGTGGATGGTGCTGCAGAGTAATAATCTGACGTGACGTGACAGCAGGAAAGGAAACCGCTTATCGGACACCACCAGTATTCTAAAGGAGACTGAATGTACAGATCGGCTGCTATCAGTTCAGTTTTGGCTTGTGTGCTATTACAGGAAAAGTAAATGCAGTGAGGCCGCTACTGGATGGGTGACACTCGTGAAATGATTCAGAAAGCACCATGCCTCCCCAGTCCTCTGCATGTTCCCGCCACAGACACTCCCCTGTGTGTCCTTCCAGCTTCGCATGTCCTCTGACGAAAGCCACTATTAAAAAAGTAAAAGCCGGATACACTTACTGAGACCAGAAGCCACACTGAAGTTTGGAAAGGAGCTCTGTAACCGAAAGTACCCAGTCCAGTTTATTTCATTCTTTCAATGTCAGATTCAGGAGACAGTAAAAGCTGAAGGCATACAATACCCATGGTAAACATTTCTACTTCCATGCATGAAATGTACTTCTGGAACCTTCTCTCTCACCTGTGATACATTGGCTGCCCTCACCAGGTAGTCTGTGTGTTGTGTTTATGCAGAGCCAGAGTTCCTTCAGAAGTAGCTTTACTTTTCCTGTGAAAAAGAGTAAAGTATTAAAGACATGTCATTTGGCTCAATCTACAAAAGGCCAAAACACACACCTGGGAAATCAGGACTTCTCAGGGGCTGGGGAAATAAATAGGCACTGAGATTTCTTCCCCAAATCCAACCACTATGCATAACTGGCTAAGCTGCTGATGGGAAGGCCTGCAACGCTCCAGCTGAACGCTGAAGACAGGCTTATTTTTTCCTAGGGGTGAGGGGAATGGGAGGACACAGGACTCAAAAGACTAAATCTACTTCTGGTAAAAGTCTTTATCACCTTTTTGTATGAATGGACCAAATACACATTCTTGGGACTTTCTACAGAAAGTGGTAAGAGATAAGGGATAGAAGCAAAGATATAATGACCGATGTAAGAGATGTTGGCTCTACATTTACTATAAACAATAATAGAAAAGCACCCCTCAGTGACATGAGGGTGTCAGAAAACCCATCAGAATTGACCATGCTGGGTAGAGCATGCAACTCATTGATCTCAGGGCTGGGAGTTCAAGCCCCACACTGGAGGTAGAGATTACTTTAAAAATCTTAAAAAAAAAAAAAAAAAAAAAAAGACTTGGCCAAGTTCTAACTAACCTGGCGGCTTTGTGGACAATAGAAAATCCATTAATAGTCTTAAGGAGTAACAGGGTGGAAGACAAAAACGTGTGTATAAACACATGGAAAGAAAGAGATTATCACACAAACGAGCAGACACACAGAGAAACACATGTTTTTAGAAGGCAAGTGAAAGCCGTGGAATTTTTATAAATTTTCAAAAGGGTCAGGATTCCTACAACAGTTAAGAACCACTGGTTGAGGTTGAAAGGTACATATTTCTACAGATTTAGATCCTCAATGATCTGTGAATTCAGATCGTTTTAACTATGCCAAGCCTAATAAAAATCATATAACTTTAGGAATATGACACTATGGTTTTAAAGTGAGTTTAACATTAATACGTACATACAATCCTAAAAAACTCCCAGAACAAAAAGTATTCATAAAAATTTAAGTATGAATAGCTTATGGTCAATTATGCATAAAAAGACCAACCACACTAATAAAAATTCAACTAAAGATAAGCTTTAAGTATTAGATAATTTCAGGCCACCTCAAGTTCTATTATAGTTTCCTTGAAGTTCTTAAATTGACCTGAAGCATGTATCGAAAATACTGAAATCTTTGATCTAGTTCTAGAGAAGATAAAAGACCAACCTTTTAACACAAAATATCTGCAAGAACTCACAAATTTTGAAATAGGTCAGCCCTATTTAAGCTGGCAAACAGCATCACTCCACAAAGAGCGCTGTCCCCAGAAGAGGGGACCAGGGTAAGTGGTGAGGACATAGTAACAGGCAAGCTTAAAAAGTTTCCTATTTCCAGCCTCTCTGGAGCCCAATCAACTTCTGACTGTCACTGTGTATGAGGCATGTCTATTCTTGAGTTCCAAAATTCTGTGATCAAGTAATTTATCTACATTGTGATTTAACCCACCCAAAAGCCTGCTTCCAAATGCTGTAATCCCCTTTGCTTAAATGACCTGACCAGGATCCCTGCTTATTACGTATACCCAAAGCAGCAAACAAGGAACCTTAAAAAAAAAAGAAAAAAAGTTACTTTTCTATTCCTATGGAGGCTATTAAGCAGAGCTATGCCTATTCTAACTGAGCACTCATTCACTACTTTTTTTTTTTTTTTTAAAGATTTTATCCATTTGACAGAGAGAGACACAGCAAGAGAGGGAACACAAGCAGGGGGAGTGGGAGAGGGAGAAGCAGGCTTCCCGCCGAGCAGGGAGCCCGATGCGGGGCTCGGTCCCAGGACTCTGGGATCATGACCTGAGCCGAAGGCAGATGCCCAATGACTGAGCCACCCAGGCGCTCCACTCATTCACTACTTCTAATCTGACAAAACAGAACTATCCATTCCCAGTAAAGCAGGAAAAAAAAAAACAAAAAAAAAAAACACTTCATTACTGAGCTGTGAAGAGAAAAGCTCATTATGTTGAACTGCACACCTTCCGCCAATCCCGTACAATCCTGCCTGAATCAAAACCTAAGGCGTCCATGAGTGTCTCTGCACTCGTCTGCTCCACTGAGCTGTGTGGCATTAGACGAACACCAGGCTTTCACTGTGATACCGTCACAACTGTGTTTGACAGTCTGTGTGGGCATGAACCTTGCTCAGGTTTTTCCTTTTCAAAAACTTGATTATTCCGAACATCTATTCTATCCTGCTAAGCCTTCACCATCTGCTTGTGCTTTCCCATCTAAAACCTCAGTGGGATTTGCGTAAGACTGGGTCTTTAGAAATACATCTGGGGAAACCTTACATCTTTACACCGTGAGCCTCTGATCCAGTAACAATGCTCACTCACGTGTTCTGGTCTTTCACCCTCTTCCACGGCTTCACGGGCTTCCTCATAGAAGCCTGGCGCCTGCTTTTAGGTTTTCTCTTCCTAGACATGACGGTCCCGTCGCCTTAACAGGTTGTTCTCATTCCGTCCCTATTCTGATAGGTTGAGGATGCCGCACTCAGCGTGCTCAAAGTATGTATCAGCACTCTGCCAAACTCCCATACTTGTTTTCAAGTGGAGTCTACCTAGACGGTGTCATCTGTGAAATAATGACAATTCGGACTCTTCCTTATTAGGACGTACAGACCCTGCTCTCCCCCCACTGGCTCCACTGCACAGAGCAGGGCCCCCCGCCCTGTGCGTACAGAACGCAGGGAACAAGAAGCGCGTGTGACGGTAGTCTGACGGTAAAGACTAGGCTCTTCAGCTTCCATCCTCCTCAATTTCAAAATGTGTTTTTCTATCATTACCTCACCAGATATTTTTTAATGAGGAATGGGTGCTGAACTGAGATGATTGTATCATTTTTCTCTTAACCAGTGGTTGTGGTCTTCCTGAGATAAACCCCTAAATCATAATGTGTCTGTATTCTCTATTACTATGAGACTGGAGTTTTCAAAATTTCATTTGGTATTTTTGCAGCTGTATTCCTAAGTGACAGCGCATGTGTGTGCATGTCATTCTTAGCTGGCTCTGGTGCAGGGCTATTTGAGTCTAAGTTCTCAGAGAAACAAAATAACAATAAAGATATTAGTCTTATTCACTGAAGCCTTTATAGAACTCACTTGTAAGTCATTCGGATCTTGTATGGTATTAGATCTTTAACTTTTTTTTTTTTTTTAATTTCTTCTGCATTATTTTTCTGGTTCAGGTTTGCAACAACGATCCCAAGTCAATCTGAGCATGTTTTCCTTGAAAATGGTCTATTTCACAAACATGATTCAATCTGAATATAAATGTGTGAATTCAGAAATTCTCTCACTGTGGCTTTTCATGGCTTTCTCCGTTGTGTTATCCGTCGTGATGCTTTTGTGTTTCTGTTCCTTCCATTCTTGATCAGACTTGCGGAAGAGCTGTCGGTTTCAACAGCTCTGTGAAGATCCAGCTGTTTGTTTTAATGGGCCCAAATCAAATGCTTTGGCTCATTAACTTATGTTTTCTTCTTCATCAACTCCTTCTTTCCATTTTCTTGTTTCTGTTGCATTTTCCTACTTTCCTGTCATTCTTGCTTTCTGTAGTTCTTGCTTTCTATAATAATCACGGAAGATTACTCATTCCTATGAATACCATACTGAGAGTATCTCAGATTTTAATACTGCCCTATGGTTGTTTATTTCAGTTTTAATGTTCTCTGCTACCCAAGAGGAGTTTGTTTGTGTTAATGCATGCTCACTTACCAGACAGGTTTGGAAAGTTGTGGGGCTTGGCGGGGGGTGTGGGGGGGTCAGGGGGAGGGAGAGATTTTTATTAATATCTTACTAAGTATCAGTATCATAATAATATCTCATATTAGGCTGGAGTTTCCGTTATCTAGCAGAGTCAGCTTTCATATAAGTTGGAAAGTATTTTAAAGAATTCTAGGTTTGTGGTTTAAAAGAGTTAGATATAAATCGTCAATCCTAAAATCACAAATCCAATTCCACCTATTTTGTCTGCTTTTACAAACAATGGTCTCTGAGAAACATACCAAAGCCTCCCATGGAAACAGGTAACTATTCCCTCTAGAATTTCCAGGCATTTTACCATAGAGTTTCGTGTTCTTAGTCTATGACAGTAGCATCTTCTTGGTGAACTGTACCTTGAAGAAACCTGGATATTCCCTTTTAAACCATGTAAACTCAGTTCTAGGCTTGAATTACTTTTTGCCTGGTTACTGCTTTCAAGTTAGCATTTGCTCGAAATTTCTCTATCCATCTCTCTACATTCAATCTTTCCACTTCATCTGATTTTAAAAATACTTCCTACTAACATGCCAGAAATAAAGGTCGTACACAAAATCATGCTCAACACCTGAAAGACCTTTCCAATATAAATATTACATGTGTATCCTGCTCTGAGATGGGTCCTTCAATTATTTCTTAGTGACCTTCCCTCCTTAGGGCTCTGGCCTCCCCTCGGAGAGGTCCTGGTATGTGACCACTGTGACGTCTACGATCTTGTTTTCCATACTTGAGAACCCCACTGGCTCAATTTCATTGCAGCAGCCGATTCTCTAAGGACACTAACTCTATATTCTTAACGTTTTCTTCCCTCCCATTCGTGATTCAATACCGTTTCCTCAGGGTTTTTCTCCTTGGTGCCTTTCTTCCCCACGACTCTGCTTCTCAGTTTTAGATGAAACCTGAGGCAGGTCATCTTTGAGAGCCAGTGTATAATTCATCAGCCTACATTCCTCTGGCAATACATGCAGGTTCTCATTTCATGGACCTAAGGGACCCTGACTTCGGAGGGAAGGGATGCAGAGTGAAGCAGTTACAAGGATTTATTTATTTTTTTTTTTTTTTAAAGATTTTATTTATTTATTTGACAGAGAAAGACACAGCGAGAGAGGGAACACAAGCAGGGGGAATGGGAGAGGGAGAAGCAGACCCCCCCGCCGAGCAGGGAGCCCGATGCGGGACTCGATCCAGGGACTCCAGGATCATGACCTGAGCCGAAGGCAGTTGCTCAACCGACTGAGCCACCCAGGCGCCCAGTTACAAGGATTTATACGGAGAACGTAAATATCTAATTTTCTGCGAACAGGAGTGGCTATCCTTCAAAGCAGGTGCAATTACCCAATTTTCTGATTTTCTTATATCCACACCCGCTCAGAGCGCCTCCTATGTTGCAAATGACACTTCACAGAACTAAACTTTGGGCCACAACGTGTGGATAAATGCCAGAAGCTGTTTTTGAAACCAGAAGGCTATACATTCTTCACCCTGAATCCATTACCTGGCAAACCACTAATGTCTTGCTCTGTCTCCCACTCCCTGCACCTCTGATCTAAAGAAATGCAGGGCTTCTACAATCAAACTTTCTTTATGAAGCCTGCTGTTTTCTCTGTAATTTTGGGTTTCACCACCAACTGATACCATCTGCTTTACATTTTCCTCCACTGGTAGTAAAATTTTAACTCTAAAAAGAGTTTTTTGTTTTTTTTTAATTTTCTGCCATCTCTAATGGATTTAGAAGGAAGGAAAGGCAAATGTGGCATTCAGGTGGCCTTTCAAAAAGTGAAGTCAACCCAATAGTTTCTAACTTGTGAATTGCTTTCAGAAGTACAGATGAGCCTTGAACATGGGGGACAGGGGTGCTGACCCTCTATAGAAGTGAAAATCCACCTGTAACTCTGAATCCCCTAAAACCTAACTACTAATAATAGCCCAGTGTTAACCGGAACCTTTCCTGTTAACATAACAGGCAATAACATGTATTTTATACTTTGTATGCATCATATACTATATTCTTACAATGAAGTAAGCTAGAAGAAAGAAAATGTTAAAAAACCGTAAGAAAGGGAAAATACATTCATAGCACAGCACTGTGTTTATAGAAAAAAACCCACATAGAAGTGGACATGCATGCAGTTCAAACCAGTGTTGCTGAAGGGTCAACAGTATGATGAGAGAAAAGTGTTAAAGATATACTTAGCAATTAGGAATTAAATCCCCCAAGGTCCACAGGTAAATAATTAACAGATTCCTAAAGACTTCATGTATTTACCTGGAAGAAGTAAAATGTACAGCAGAAAACAATCACCCTCATGGTGTGGGATGAGAAAACAGAATGCAGAGATAGAGAGCAACTCCGAGGACACAGGGGGAGGGTTCAGTTTTAAATAGCAAGGCTTGAGAACAGTCAAATCCTAAAACAAACCCGTTGGTCCAAAAGAGAAGATGACGAAAGCAGCAGCTGACCGCTGGCTGGGAGAACCAAGCCCGGCGACCCCTCCACTTCCCTGGGCAGCACCTAGGACTCAAAGCCTGGCCTTCCACACAGAGGGGCAAGGCAAAGAGGGTTGAAGCATGTGGACCTAGGCAGCAGTGACAGTGGGAAATGGCAAACAAGTGCCCAGGCAACCGAAAGGTGTTAACTATTAAAGTCTTGAGCACAGGAAAAGGTGATCTTGTGCTCTGAATTAAAAATAAAAGTAAAGCAGGGCGCCTGGGTGGCTCAGTCGTTAAGCGCCTGCCTTCAGCTAAGGTCATGATCCCAGAGTCCTGGGATCGAATCCCACATCGGGCTCCCTGCTTGGCAGGAAGCCTGCTTCTCCCTCTCCCACTCCCCCTGCTTGTGTTCTCTCTCTCGCTGTGTCTCTCTCTGTCAGATAAATAAATAAAATCTTTAAAAATAAAAAATAAAAAAAATAAAAGTAAAGGACGAAGAGACAGGGTAAAGGAGGCTTCTAAAAATAAGCTATATCCTTGTGGAACAATGGAAGTGGTTTTAGTAATCTCTACTTGGAGGAAAAATAACACATCAGTAACATAAAAATACCATTATTTCCTTATTTATCATTTGAATTCCATCTCCACCAAGAAAGTGAGATAGGTAGAGAAGAAATCCATATTCTCCTTTTTTAAAAATGAAGAATGAAATGCAGAGAAGTAAATGGCCGCCTACAACATTAACACACTGCGTGACAAAATGAAGACTGAAACATCTGTGACTTCCCTGTTCCACGACCACTGTCTTACCTCCCCTTACAACACTTGGCTTCCCTCCAAAAATACACTGGAGGGCTTTGATTCCAGTTTTCCTGCCTGACCTTAACAATTTTTATATACTTGGCACCCAAGAAACTTTATAAATTAACTTGGCAAACTTTAACCTAATAAAAAACTATACTTATTTATTGCAAAGTATGGAAATTATACCACGGACTAGTTTTCATTTCCCAAACAATATTGCTTTTTGACTCTTTCATTCACCGGATATGATCAGACAGCAAGGTGATATAATACATACAACAGATCTGACGAAGACGTAAAATAGGATATGACTTCTCTAACATGAACATCTGCTGAACCTAGAAATTCTGCAATTACAGGTAAGAGTGACAAGCAACCTCCCAGACCACTGAACGGCACAGAAATTAGTAAGAAATCTGTAATATACTCACTTTTATCTATGCTTCCATAAGAATCACTTGAAATTTGTGTTCCAATGTGTCTCAACTCTAAAATCATGGGGAAAAATACAGTTAATAAAGAATATTGCAGGTCAAAACAGAATTTTCAAGCAGTAAGTGAATGCTCACCCTTTTCATTTTTCTGTTTAGAAAATTCATCGAGCCGTTCCTGTGGAAACCAAGTGCTGACAGTGTTTGTAAGGGGTAGGGGGAGTGTAGGCATCCCACACCGGGTCTAAGGGGGTAGCCCCGCGGCGCTGCGGATGGCGTGCACCAGGCGGCCCCGCCCGACTCCCACGTGATGAGGATGCTAAGGAGCCCTGAGGCCGCGAGTGTCACCTGGGTGCGCACTATTATCTATTACCTGTGTCTTCTTAAATTCCTTTTCAAGTATTTTCTTCTCATTCCTCAGCTGCTTGAAGTCCTGCGTTTGCTTGACAGCAGCCTCTTTAAAGAGCGCAATGAACAAGACACACAACAATTGACCAACTTCACAGCTACCACTAAGGAAATACTCAAAATATCTACTGAGAGCTTTTCTCATTTCATAAAACTTTGAAACAAATTTTGTAAAAAGTTACTGTTCCTTCAGCACTTCCTCAGTCAGGGATAAATGCAGGAACATGGTTTGTTTAAACTGTTATCTATAAAACCACAGACTTGGCAGAGGCCCCAAGACGCCTTTGCAATCCCAGCAGGAGCCAGCCCACGCCCTCTGGTCAGGCAAGAAACCCAACACACATGAACTTTCGAGAAGGAGGGGCACTGCTTCCTCCTGCTCTTCAGCAATAAGCAACATTCATGTTTCGGAGATTTTAGAGCTGTGGCTTCATCTCGGAATACAGTCAATACCATCCTCTCTCTTGGGGAGGAGGGGCAATCTTCTCCATGCTTATTATAGTGTTACTTCTTCCTGGAACTCCCATCAACAAGCTGATAGTTCCAGCTGCTAATACAATACCTGTGTTCTAGATCTATTTTAAGGTATTGTTTTAGCTCTTCCCTGGATCTTCAGCAAATTCTTCAATCTGGTTTTTGGTTCTGAAGCACATGGTCCAAATATATTATTAAGAATCTAACCAGCATTAACCTTACCTGAGTATGTTCATACACAATTGCCATGAAAACTAAAATGCCATAAAACACCATAGTAACAATCCTTTCCTGACTCCTCTAATGAGCTTGAGTATTTTTTTACTTGATTATTAGGCCACATCGCTCACTAGGGGAAAATATTTTTGTCACATGGGAAATAAAGGCTACACTTCTCTTCAAAGGAAATCTGTCCTAAAAGGTGCACATAGTCTGAAATGCACAGGCATCTCAGATCTCTTTAAAACATTTCCTTAGATAGAAATTTATCTCCACATACCAGCAAGAGAAAGCCATACTTAAAAAGAACACGATGATGTTATATTTACTGCCATATTGTCAGTGTTTGTGCAAAAACCAAATCAGAGGAAAAATTGTTACCAAAATATTTGTAGAGTTTAAATCTAAAAACCTGGGCTCAATCTAGGTAAACTCATGACTGGAAGTATTTTCAGCAAGTTCTCTTCTATATGCCCCGATCCAGCTAAATTTAAATTCTTCACACTCCACATGAAAAACGAACCATGCTCTGAGGCAGAGCACCATCAGTGTGTCATCACTATCTAAAAACATCAAGTTTCCTGGTACTAAAAGCAGTAACCTTCTCTTTCCACTAACCACTTATTTCAGGAAAGAATGAAAAGCCCCATAACATGTAAATTTCAAAATTAAATCCTTTTACTGACTGCTGCTTTTTAAGGTACAAATATGGACTGCCATTATTTTGAGTGCAAAACATTTCAAAGATTTGGCATATGCCATTCCCATATTCCTATCCGGAAACTGAGAGGAGTATTCAAACTTCTCCTTAATGGTGGCCTTAGCGCGATCATTCGGGATGCACCCTTGAAAACACGATGACCCAACTACCAATCAAGTCCTACAACTCTGTACGACCATCAGTGATCTGTGTGAAGACCAATGACTTCCATTAGCTAGACAACGATAGTGCTGATTACCTTCCAGCTTCTTCACCTTGGCTTCTAGTTTCTTCTTCCTAATAATTTTATAAATAGTAAAAATAAATAAATAAATACACACACACATACACACACAAACACACAATCCGTGGCTTTATTTTTTAATTATTGAAATATAACAAAGGAATGTCGGTCAAGATGAGCATTGTGCATCAACCACTGAAATCATCAGCAACTGTTATGAAAGTATAGTAAACTAAGAGAGAACAGTATGCTATTTAGTGTGTAATATTTCTAGAAAGAAATCTGTATTTTTCTGCCATGCCACATCTGGGAGTCTCCCTGGGCCACAATGGCCTCATGTCCAGGCCAAGCTGATGTTTCCCAGTGGTCTCCTAGAACCAGGCCAGCATCTACATCAGCAATGTCACTCTTGGGAGCATGCGGGGCAGTAGTGCTCACAATTCCATTTTATGGGAGGCAGAGGCTGGAGAGCTGCACCAGTTTTCAGATAGATTTTTGGGTCAGAGAAGGCTGGTAACTCTGAGAAAGTCTCTGAGGTACCATTACATCACACGTACATTTGACTGCTGTGTGTGTAGCTCACAAGATCTGTGAATCATGTGACTATAATCACTTGGATGCTTTCAAAAAGCTCTTTTTTATTAACGGTAACAAAGATGCCCATTCCACAGGATACCTGTTAAAGTCCCAGTACAGAGGAAGGAGCTGACGATCATGTTTGAAAACACACAGACAGGTGTGTGTATGCACGAGTACAGACAAACACTTCTTTGGAGTTCTTTCTCATGCAGCTCTTTAACAAATCAAGACTTATAATCCTTCAGGGGAGGTATAATTTCCACAGGACAGACCTAGAGACTAATGCTGAGTGACTGACTAGCTTAAGATCACAGTTACAGCCCATAACCCAAAGACAGAGAGGAGAGAGACAGTACTGATTTAAGGACCAGCCATTTTCAGACATGAAAACCGTACGTCCACAGTCATTTTAGAACTTACTGAGCATCAGTTTTCAAGCATTCTTCTTTTACACGTGCATATTCCTGGTGAGTATCTTGGTACAACTTCAGAGAACTCTAAGAAAAAGACAGCTGTTGTCAATTTGAAAGTCACTGACCATCACTGAGAATTTACTTGGACCTTGGTAAGTGAAATTATTACCATTTAACAGTAAGACATCAACCAAATGAATACATATATTGGACAGGAAACCAAAGTATATTCTTCGAACATTTTAACAGAGATAACCAGATCCTTAACAGATGTAATATGATTAATAGTCTCAGCCAACAAAGCTATACAAGTTAAGATGTACTAATTTTAGGGCAACTCCAAATCTTCCTAAGACTGAATAGCCAATATTTTTCTCAACCAGTTAAAATTCAACAAAATCTGCTCAATAAATATAAGCTATCATTACTACTACATAAAAATATAAAGCAAATCATTATACTTAACAATCACTGGGAAAAATGTGCTACCACCAATCAGCAGGTACATCCTGACGGCCACCATGGAATGGGAAAGAGTCTGTCACTGAGCACTGTATCCCACTACAATGTGCATATGGATAGATCTTTAACTGCCACAGCTCTGAGATGGATTTTATGGCCCCCTTTTATAGATGAGGAGTCTGAGGATCCACCAGCTGACTTATTTTTCCAAAGTCACAGAGAATGAGTAATTAGCACTTCTCACTGAGGTCCGACTCCAATGTGGATGCTTCCTCTCAGATATGGCTGACAAGACTGTTATATATTAGAGGCAGACAAAATTCAATGTTGTAGTTGTTTCTGTTTAAACTTCAAGTAGTTAAAAATGTAATAAAGACTTTCTACAGAAGTAGGAAAACCAATCACTGCTGAAATACATAAGACCTCAGATCAGTGCATGGCATTACTAAAATAGTACAAGTCGATGCCTGGGAGGCAGAGACACCATCATGAAAAGAGCTCTGAGAACAGCTGAGAAGCAGGCATCATTCCAGCTCTGACAGTATATGTCTCATGCAAACCAACTAACTTTATTGGCCTTCAACTTACGTTATCTGTAAAAGCTATGAATTCTCTCCTATGACTCCTGAAAAGAGTAAACCAAAATTTATACCAGAAAGCAAGTTTACAGCATTTTTCTTTTGTACTGCCCCCAAGCTTACAACATTTTAAATAACTGTTTTACTGCAACTCGATTTTGAAACAGAGAACATGATCTCTTCACCTCTAAGTTTAAATTCTTGCAGATTATTTTACACTTACAGCAAGACCGATGTGAAAAGGCAACCAACGCAGGACACAGAGAGCCCTAAAAAGTCCCAGCTAGAAGGTTCCTCTGCAGAATCTCAAAGAACACATAAGCAACTAACACAGCATCACAGAGCTAGTAATTACTGTGAGGACCAAGCCATTAATCAACCAGTTCGATGTTCTCTAAACAGAGGAATACACTTTGTGATTTTTGAGTACCCCTTGTTTCCTCTGTTAAGATGTAAAATACCGCCTCATGCCAATGACAGTGAATAAACAGATCTTCATTTATAGAAGATAAACCTTCACAGGAAAATTCCTTTAGGTACCTTCTTCTCTTCCAGCTCTGCTTTTAAAGATCCCAATTCTTCCTGACATTTCTGCAGAGGAGAAATTTTTTGAAGCATCTGTTCCACTTGGTGATGCAGAGTGCTATTCTCTCTAAAAATTGACAATGCATTAGCATTATTATACAGAAGTATCTACAGCGAATCATTAAATATATTGACTGCTGCTATTCTATTTTTTCTAACTTGGAAGGAAAAAGTAATAAAAGAATCTCTCTTTAAATGCATTCTATTTATACCAACATGATCTTCATACTGCTAATATTTTGACATTATAATCTATTTCTAATAAAAGTATATGATAAACTACTTGAGAAGTACAGTAGATTCTCAATCTGATAGACAATATATGAAAGGACAATATGCCAAATAATTAGGTTTTTCCAATCTTGAACTAAATCCCCATTTATCCAAATTAAATCACAGGCAATTTTGTGATCCAGTTTGTAACAATGTTTTGCCTTCTTCTAGGGGATGAATATATTCAGAATATGAAACACTGCTAAATGTTCACTCCATTTTAAATTGTTTAAGATACACAAGATAACCTCATTATTAAACACAATCCAATTCAGGCAGACAATAATTTGATTAACAATAAGCTCCATTTCAATGGCAACACCATCAGTAAAAGTAATAAAAAGTCAAACACCAGCCTGTAACTTAAGACCTTGGTAAGAATTTCATTTGGATAATACAATAGTAAGGAAAATATAAATCTTCTTTTATCATGACCATCAAAGCAACATTCAATATGATGGGTCAATCCTATGTGGCACTTTGACTGAATCTGTTTCGAAATCTAGTCTGATAAATGTCTACCCCAAAACAACCATGAAGACAGTACTTACCTTCTTGCAAACTGCAGCTGTAAAACTTGTTAAAGAAAACTCTCAAGAAAACTCTCAGTTTTATCTGAAACTTGTCAGAAGATTAAACTCATTTTAAAATTACCTGTAATAATCTCTGTTCAATGTATATACAGGCAAATTCACAATTCCTAGAAAACAATATTCCAAGGTCCATCTATAACACAGTGTTAAAAATTTTTACTAGGTTACTCTATTTACCGTAACATGTACCTAAAGTCAAAATATCTACTTCTCTAAATTAAAATAGGTACTCAATTACATCGATGATTAATACTGAATCCCGAGAATAAACACAAAGCAATATTCAACGAATGAACACTACCTTGGATCCTATAAACAAGAAAATCCCCGAACAGCCTATCCTGAATTTAATAGTCCAGAGCATAATTCCAGCAAACAAGAGTTAGATACTTATGAGAACCATTTATCACTATACTCAATGAGTAATGAGAAAAGAAACAGAGAGAACATAAAACCTAGATAACCTCTCACTTTTACAATTTACACAATATAACTTCATTTCCCATCTCATGCTGCCAGTGAAATGTTCTAGGACAGCAAAACAATTACCCTTCTAAATTTCACCTCCTACAAGTTTCTATGCATATACCATGAGGTGGCAAATGTCTATAACGACACGCCTCTGTTCTCCTGTCAGAATACAGACTTCTCCAGATTAAGGACTACATTCACCCTAAGTTAGCAGTCTTTGCAAAAAAGAGAAGTTCAAAATACCTGATGAAATAAAATATACCCTCTCCTTCCAAAAAAGGAAATAATAAACTTAACAAAACAGTCAGAATTACACAAAAAAGTAAGAAATCAATGGGTGACTGGGTTGCTCCATCATTTAAGCATCTGACTCTTGGTTTTGGCTCAGGTCGTGATCTCAGGGTCATGAGATGGAGCCCCTTGTGGGGCTCAGTGCTCAGCGGCGAGTCTGCTTGAGATTCTCTCCCTCTCCCTCTGCTCCTCCCCTTGCTATCTAATAAAAATCTCTAAAAAAAAAAGTAAAAAATCAAGTTATATAACAAAGCCATTGAAACCTGCACCATTAGCACTTTGGGTTGGAAGAGCAAACTACTGCACACCTAAGGTACAAAAAATATGTATTTGGGGCAAATACCAAATGTGTTAAAAAAAAAAAATCAGTATTTACTTGTAGCTGAGGCTGAAGAAGGTTATTGTATCACCGAATTGATATTCCAGAATAATCCCAAGGTTTATCAATTTTTAATAAACTATTCTAATAATTTTGATTTAACAATTTTATAGGGGCGCCTGGGTGGCTCAGTTGGTTAAGCAACTGCCTTCGGCTCAGGTCATGATCCCAGGGTCCTGGGATCGAGTCCCACATTGGGCTCCCGGCTCGGCGGGAAGCCTGCTTCTCCCTCTCCCACTCCCCCTGCTTGTGTTCCTGCTCTCGCTGTCTCTGTCTCTGCCAAATAAATAAATAAAATCTTTAAAAAAATAAAATAAAATAAAATAAAATAAATAAAAATTTTATAAATTTTTAAAAAGTAAATCAATTTCCCTGCTAGATTACATGTGTAATTACCTCAAAAAGTTTATGCTAAAAAGGATATAATGAAAGTATACTCTCCTAATACTGGAATTAATTGGCTACCTATATTTCTTATTTAGCTAATTAAAAGTACTTATAATAACTGTTTCTGTACAGGTTTCATAATCAAAGGTATTACTCTTGTGATAATATACATTTATAGTTTAACAGACTGAGAGTTTTAACAAATGAAGCACAAGGGGGGGGGATTACCCTGACCTACATTTTTTAATGTAAAAATTCAGTGCTAAAAATAAATCTAAGTCTTATGCCTTGATTTTATTACTCTAATCACACAAGTTAGACATGATGGTACCAACACAAACAAATAATTAGTGATCACGTGTAAGTTCAGGGAGGCCAGAAATAATATCAAAGCAGGCCTGGGGTTCCTGCCAAAGTTGAAGAGTAGCATCTGTCCCAAGACCTAAGCTGAAGCTGCACTTCAGTGAATCCCTAAAAATATACCCACGCTAATTTTCATGGGAGATTTCACTCATGGTGTTTTCACCACGAAATGCAGAAAAGACAACTACGCACACTATTTTCACCCTACCAGTAAAATATCTCACTAGAGGCCAACTACACGCAGGTGCTCTGAATGGTTACTGAACAAACGCTGACCAAATCTGTCTTGTAAATACAAAATCACACTGTGATTATGGACATATACGTATATACACACACACACACACATATATATATAGTCATTCTCTACAAATCATAAAGCTAGTTAATGAAAGCCACTTGTCCACCATTTTGAATATTCCTACACGGCAGGTCTTACAGAAATCCTGAGAAATTCTCATAGTATCCTATTCAGCTTAAGTTCATTGCTAAGCCTGCAGAACTTGTCACATCCTCAGTACAAACGAAAAAGACCTACCCATTAAAAAGGAGGCGCCCTGAAGAAAATCAAAATTAGTGACAAAAACATAACCTTCTAAAACAGAGACCAGGAGTCTTCATCATGAAACACGTACTCACAGGAAAAGATTCATGTTCACTGTGCTGCCCAGAAGGCTTCCTTCCTTAGAGGCTGTAAACACTACCTCCCAAGGACACCTGAAAATTCCCACGGTTCTTCTAAGAAACCATAAATAAGTAAATTTAAGAACTCCAAGGAAAAAGCTAGGAAAAGGATATCATCACATTTCTTCTGATATTCTGTCAATAAATTACTGCAACAAAGAAAAGAGTTACATTACTTTTTTGATCTGGAAAATATACTGTTAAGATCATGTTTCAAAATATGCTAGGCACCTTTCTTCCTAGGCTTCCTGCAACAAATCATGTTTAATTAATTAAACATGTATACACACACACATATATATCACCTTCAATTCCTTAAAAGTGCTGCAATGATATATGAACTTTAAAAAAAATAAAAATAAATCCCCTACCATGGCTGTGAAATACTGTGAGGAAATCGGAGATCCAGTGCTAAAGCTAAGAAGGCTTAAAAGATAGAAAAGAGCTTTAAAAAAATCGCCACTCTAGCAAAACTCACTTCCTAACCTGCAGGCCTGCTGGAAAGGGCTGCGGACCAACAACACAGCTTCAGCCTGTGGACAAGGCTCACCAGGGTTCCACCATGACCCACGGCCCATGGGCCCTGGATGAGAGACTAAAGGCCTAACACACCACCTGCTCTGGCTTGTCTGTCAGGGTCTCGACGTTCAACAGAACACATGAAAACATACTCACTCTGTATTAATAATTTTCTGCTTCAAGGTAATTAGTGCTTCAACATATTCGTTTAAATTCTGCAAGAAAAAAACAGCTACAGTCAGCTACTTGTTTCTGTAATATGAATGACTCTAAACGTATATTCTGTAATGTGCGACTTATTGTAAAACATGAGCATATTTACTCTCACATAAACACAGAAATACATTAAGATATTATTTACAATGCACAGAAACACAGACCTACTCTGTGTGATCTCGAACCCATGCCGTATCTCTCTGAATCTTTCTTTAGGTGGATGGCGCTCTCTCTCTGACAGTAAGGGGGTTGTGCAGACTCTCTGTGTGCTCTTAATCAGTGAGAATCTGGTACATACTCACTATTTTAGTTCACTAATTATTAGTAATCACGTCTACAACTCACTCTGCATTGTCTCTGAAAGGATTTAAGACATCAAAAAGTCACGTAAATATAAAAAAAAGCAAGAAAATAAAAATAACATGGGAAGAACAAATAGGAATATTAAAATAGGGATGAAATTCAATGAAAAATTCATTTTATAAGGATCTATATATTTTAGGGACCAACTACAAATCTGGCTCTAAATTACTGCTATCAATTCAATAGGGAAAACATCATTAGTTACACTGCTCAAAATGTTCCTAAGACTTAAAAACAGATATTTTTTTTCTTTCAAGTGACTTTTTCCCCTAATATCTTCATATTTCATTGGTAAATACTTCAGAAGAACTTATTTTTCACTGATTATCCCAAAACATCTTTTTTCTAGGTAATCCAAATGATTTTGAGAATTACAGAAATATGTCCCTTTATACTAGTCTGTGTATCTTCTTTGAAGTCAGACATATAACACGGTATTAGTTACAATAAAAAAGGTCCACACTGAAACACGTAAATAAAAAGTCTTAGTTTGGGGCGCCGGGGTGGCTCAGTCGGGTGGGCAACCAACTGTTGGTTTCGGCTCAAGTCCTGATCTTGGGGTGGTGGGATCGAGACCATGTCGAGCTCAATGTGCAATGATGTGCAGCTCGGAGTCTCCTTGTCCCTTTCCCTCTGTTCCACCACCCGCCCAGGCTCACGCACGCTCTCAAATAAATAATTAAAATCTTAAAAAAAAAAAGTCTTTGTTTTCTTATACTCCCACCACCAGTTAAAAATCTCTATTCCTCCTTGTGCATTTCCTCTCAGAATGTTCCTGCATTTGTAAATGACATCTGGATGTGCTCAGTCCACCAACTCAATACTGAAGGCCATTCAGGTTCATTTCTGTCTCCACCAATGCACACCATGAGTGTCCCTGCCCATTCCTGTGAGATACTATCTTTCCTTAGGATCAAGTCCAAATAGATTTCCTGCATTAGTGATAGTGATGAGCTTTGAAAATCTTAGAGCCATTTTTCCATGTATATTTATTTACAAGTGTGACTGAGAAATCTCTTGCCATTTAGTTTTTCTCTTATTAAAAGCTCCTGAACATTGTTTGCTCACTGGTGTGGTTGCACTTTCTTATGAGCAGCGATATTTGAGCAATAGCAACATTTCAATAAATGTTACAAATATATACATAATGTCTGTCACTTGATCACTAAAATACAACCACACAGGCATGCAGAAGTTTTAAATACAGAGCTGAATCTGTCACTTTTTTTTAAAAGTTTCGGTTTCCTGATATATTTAGAAAATTCTATCCCACCCAAGATGCTAAAATAAAAGGATTTTTCTCTATGTTATTCTAGCACTTTCATGCTTTTATTTTTTGTATTTATATCTTTAACCATTCTAATATTCTATATAGTAGACTCTAAACATTGTAAGTCAAAAGGACAATGAGTGGTCCATTCCATATTTGTATTTAATGTATATTTTGCTTTCCACATTCAGAAACAATCTTTCATTATATACAAAATAAATTTCATACAACAACAGATTTCTGGGCACAGAGGGAAAATAATGCATCTGCTTTTACTCCCTCCCTAAAAGCCAGCTAAAACTAAAGCCAAGAAACTTTTCCCCCAAAGGCAAAACCCACAAAGATGAGAGTAGAATAAAAAGACAAGTGGAAACTGGAAAGCAGATTCAAGAATACTGACTTGGCAGGCTCAAGAAAGCGGGAGAGGTGGGAAGGGGGAAGAGTCCAGGACACCAGGGTGCTCTGAGACAGAAGGGCAGGGGCGCACTAACAGAACTAGTGGCAAACTTTCTTATAAGCATTAAATCCTCAAATTCCTACCTCTCTGCCCCGCCACCGTCCAGCAAAAGGTTTGCTGTTTGAAGAATTCTCTGCCTCGGACACTGTGAACACTGTGCCAAAAACAAAGGGATGAGGCAGCCCTATGCACACTGACCTGACACTGACCACCTGCTTGTCCCCATTAAGCTCCCAGACAGTGACAGCCAATCCTTTGCCCTCCAGGCAGGAGACTGAAAGTGCTTTCTCTGAGGATATCTAACCAGCACTGACATGAGATATCCTTGAAATGAATGGCCCACCAGACCTTCTGCAATGAAGCTCAAGGTCCAGATGCCCCACACACTCAGCATTTCCAGCCAACATATCAGCCAACAGTTTTAATAGGAACAATCATGGATTTCCACACATCAGAGAGAAACCTGTAACATGAAAGTGAGACCAAAACAAGACAGCAACTTGGAGTAAACAGAAACTGAGAAGAAAACTGCAAAGATTAATATGATCGGAGATAAATGTTATATTCATGAAACAACAATATTTTTGAAAGGAATATACAGAGTTCCTAGAAAATTTTTTTAAAAGCTCCTAAAAATTAAAAACATCCACACTCCCTAGGATGGCTGAAACCAAAATGGCAGACGACAACAAGTGTCAGTGAGGATGTGGAGAAACCGGAGCCTCGGATTCTGTGCCGGAGGCCGACGTGGAGCAGCTGTGGTGCGCAGCAGTCTCCGAACTCCTCCAAATGTTCCAGAGTTCACCACGTCACTCAGCAATTCCACTCCGAGGTCTACGCCCAGGAGAGCTGGAAACACACGTCCATGCCAAACTCTGACTTAGAGCATTATCCATGCTAGCCAAAAGGTAGAAATAAGCTAAACGTGCATCAGATGATGAAGGGATAAATGAGATGTCACGCAGCCATACCACGTGATTACTTGGCAATGAAAACAAATGAGTGACACCTCTGACGAAAGGGACAAACCCTGAGCTACATGCAAGGGGCCAGTCACAAAAGGCTACATGCCATACAAGTCCATTCATATGAATTGTCCACACCAGGCAAATCCAGAGACCCAGAGACAGAAAGTAGATTAGTGGCTGCCAGGGACTGGGGTAAGGGAGACAGGGAATGACTGCTAATGCCTAAGAGGGCTCCTGGCAGGGGTACGGGGGTGGGGGTGGAGATGAACGTGTCTTACAATTACAAAGTGGTGACAGAGTTGCTTAACTGTGACTGAACTAAAACCCACTGAATCGTACACACAAAAAGGATGAATTTTATGTGAATTATATCTCAATAAAACAGTCAGAACTAAATTAAAAATAGGGAAGCAAAATAAAAGCCTCAAAAGATTTGATGAAAGAATTGAAAAAAAAAAAAAGTTCCCCCAAATAATGCAAAACACAGACATGAGAAAGAACAAAAACAAAAACAACTGGAGTATCAGCGCAAGATGTCCACATGCCCAACATTAAGAGTTCCAGATAGAAAGTAATAGAAAAGACAGAGAGATAGTCAAAAAAATTGTGATATTCAAGAAGTCTCAGAACTGAAGCCAGAAGTTTCCAAACTGAAAGATCCCAGCACATAAATACAAACAGAATCTAAACCATGGAACATCAGCACCAAATTTCAGAGCATCAGAGACAAGCAAAGACCTTATAGGAATCCCAAGAGAAATATAAAACCAAACAAGTCAAATACAAAGAATATGGAATCAGAATGGCTTCAGCCTTGAACAACAATCCAGAGACCTAGAAAGCGAGCCTTCAAAATTTTGAAGGAACGTGAATTCCAAGCTACCTACATCCTTACTTAGGGAAGTACTGAAGGATGTGAACACGATCCACCAAAATCACAAGTAAACCCAGACAAGATGACGTGGCATCCAAGACGGAGGTAATGGGAATCCAGGAAGGCAGCTGTGCCCCAGAATAAAGCAGATCCAAAGGCTCAGGAGGGAATTTTTTCCCTGAAGAAAGCAATAGAATATCTGGTGGAGTGAAAGCATTAAGATGGCATTTCTACCTAACTGGCACAGAGAACTGCAAATAAATGTAGTTGGTATTCACCATGCATTTAAATTAGGATTTTTTTAATACAAGTGATTCTTCCTTTATTTTTCCCCCCCATCCTCTTTCCAGTTCTTTGCTAGTGGGCCTCATCTTCTCCACCTTGCCTCCAGATGCCATTCTGTAATGTTAAGTACTATGCAAGGAACATTCCAGAACCCTGACTCTAGCGTCACACACAGCTGGATTCAAATTCCTGTACCACCTCTTTCTGGCTGAGTGAACCTTGGGCAAGTTTGTTTAGCCTCCCCCTGCCTCAGTACCCTTTCCAATTCTACAGATAAGGAGACTGAAACTCAGGGAGGGCAGAGCTGGCCAGCTGTCAGGAGTAAATAGGAAAAGCCACAGAAAGGGTTTAACCCAGTCCCTAGCATAGGGTAAATAGTCCTTAACATTTCAAGATGAGGAAGTTGAATTAAGGATACCATCATTCATCAGGGGAAACAAGAAAACACATGGGAAAGGAAAAACAATCGTAATTTACTCCAGAGTATAGCTCTGAATAACATATAGTCATAATAATGTCCACTCTGAGTAGTGACTTAACCGAAATCCTATGTAGGCTGAGAAGACTGGGGAAGCAGCAGGAGGAATGCTGAGGCAGGTAGGGTACAGGGTGGAAGGAGAGCTCAGTCTGCATCTTCCAAAGGCAGAAACTGAACAATATGCCCTACACTGAAAAACAAGAAGTAGCAATGCAAGTCTATTACTTAACGATACTAAAGCTCATCATAAAACACACAGTGCAATGGAAAGTGGGAGGGGAGAGATGCGGCTGGGGACAGCGGG